AACTATATTCCATCCGTTCCATTTATTGACATTCACTCAGTCTTTGAAAAATTCCCTTCTCACTTACTAACATAGCTTTTCCAAGTTTGTTTACCTACTTCCATTATCAGATGAGGTCAGACAAAGTTTAAAATGTTCGCTTTAATTGATTGATTCAGTTATTTCCTTCTTGAATCAATGTTGATAAACATTTTGCACCTTGCGATATCTATTCTTTTAAATACCTACCCTTCCTGGTGTAAATGGCGAGGAATTACCAATCTAATTAATATAATTAATGAGTATATGCATTTAATTTGTTCTTAAATATTTCCGTTAGATAGAAAACAGAATCGCACATACTTCCTGTATATTTTCTTCAATTACTGTCGATTTGTAATGAGCTGTTAACTTATTTATTTGTTGATCGACAACTGAAATTAAGCTGTTATCTTCAGATTACGCTATTGGCATCAAATTCTCTTTTTTGATCATGTTATACTTTTCGCTCAATAGGTTTTCATAATTTATTATATTCCCTTCTTTAGATCTCGTGAAAAAACACTTGCGAATTAGAAGACTGCAATATCAAATATTCATCTGGTTATGTCAAAACAGTTAAAGCTGAGAAAAAATGAAACGGTATAGATTATAAATACAACATCGACAGTTTCATGCATAATTTAAATGAATTTCCGAGTTTGTATCCTGTTGAATGAGTAACTTTCAAGTCAGTTTTTGATTTGATTCATTTATTGAAGTGCAGTGGTTGTAGTATTTTTTGATTTTAAGAGACTGAAAGAACATTGCTAGCACAGATATGCGTTATTATTGGCGGTAAGCTCATAACTGCTTTACCTTTTATGCAACTCTTTCTTATTTACCGAAATAATAAGCTACTCTCGAATCTAATTCTGTTAATAATTGAATATTCCCTTTCTCTTCATGCAAGTTACGCACTCAGCTGTTGTTTTGGTGATATTGGTAATATCGATGACAGTTGTTGAATGTTTTTTAAAGGTTAGAGTTAAGATCTGGAAACTAATCTTCATGGATTTTTAAAAAAGCAGTCTTAAAATAGTGTCGATTGCCGTCTTTTTAGTTGAATTAGGCAATTTCCAACCTTCTATTGTTCAATATTCTGTGATAGAAGCTGAATGACTATGCTGATAAAATGATGGAAAGTTTAAATAGACTAGAACGGAATGAAATGAAGGTTAAGGCCATACTCTAATGTGACTGAATTTTATTTAACATGTTATCGTAGAACTCACGAAAGACCCCTCAAAAAGAGCAGAGTATTTAAAATTTTTTTTTTTTTTAAAAAAAAAATTTTTAAGATACATAAAATGAGTGTAAGCCAGATAGCGGTAGTGGTGATAGTGATGCAGTAGTAGTGCGGGTGGTTTTTCAGGAAGTGGTAAGAAATAAGAGAAACTGTTTTGATGATATGAGACGAATAAAACTTATGCAAGCTGTTATAGAAAGCTACTAGGAATTTGATGATTGAAAAAATAAATAGCTGAGAAAGAGAATGGAAGAGAAGACGAGAAGCCAAAGGACATTTTTGTTGAAAACAGTCAATTTCTTCGCAAAATAAACCTAAATGCTGAAAGTGTAACAATGTGAAAGATAGCTGTCAAGCGAATAAACTTTCTTTTGTTATTTTCTTCAAGTTTAACAGATCGAGCAACCAACTAGTTTTTAGGAAAATTGTGGATTAGGAGGTGATGATGATACATACGACCAAGTGGTCAGTTCATTTATTTACATTGATAAAGATTTTCCTTTCCATGTTGCTGAAATCTTTTTATCTTTAATTCATATATCCTCCTGTGAAGATGCCTTGAAATCTTGTTCTGCGTAGAATGCAGAAAAAGCACTTCCATTGAACAGACATTTTACCATACCAAATTTTAAACCTTGTGTAAGTGAAATCGATATTGTCAACGTATATGGATAGTGAGCATGAAATATTGATTTTGGGTTTTCAGATGAAAATTGTTAGTTCAAAGATCAAAAAGAATTTATTCTCACAACACATCAATCTATTTATTCCATAACTGCATATGTATGCTATAAATTTAAAACAATCAGATTTTTTGTCAATTCATTTCATAGGATAGTTCGCAACTGTTATTTCTTTCCACATAGTAATGAATCATTCAAAACAAGATCTCTTCGATACCAAAGGCTCTGCTTTAATTGTACGCTACGTGACTACTTTATTGGGATTTAAGAAGTACCGTATTCACAGATTAGCCATTCGTTACGTCAATGAAGAAATGTGAATTTGATGTAGATTTATTAGTATTTCAAAACATCCATGCTTTCTTGACAGTTTTGATTCTTAAAAGGCTATCATAATCAGTAGTGCATTACATCATCTATTGTCAAATGATTCAGCAGACTTCATTCTTATTTCATAGTTGCTGATAGTTTATTTGACGAAAACGTACTGTTATGTACAGTCACTATATTTACTTTTCAACTTTTTAACAATTGAATTTCAATTTAATCTGAATCTTTCTGCTTAAAACTTTTTATTCTTGAGAAATACTGAGGGATACGTCATTTCAACAATCCCTTTGTAAACAGTGTGTGACACCTGCTAGCCAGTAATCTCTATCTAGTAATATATGATGAATAGAATCATTGCCATATTTCAGAAAACTGGAAATAGTAAATTGACAAATCAATTATTACGAGAATAAAGAATACGAGAATAGCTAAAATGATCACTCACTGCAAGGAAGATCGGAGGTTCAATTCTCGTTCTCCTTTTAAGTTCTTCATGCTATAATAGACATATGCGTCACTTTACCAGTTGTGAATGCGTTTCTTCTCTAAAATGTCTCTTATATTTCAACTAATTAAGTACCTCTTACTCATATTTCTGTTAAGATTTGTGTGCCATAATGTTATTCTAATAAAAATTAACTCCAGCGTCTTTTCCTTCTGATCACATGCTTATTCAAATAAGTTCACTGTTTTAATTAAAGGCATTAATTCATGAACAAAAAAAAATTAATGGATCTCAGAAATCAGTTCCCCAAAGTGCTTTTTTTAGAAATAAATTCAAAATGGAATTGTTGGAGAAATCACAAACACAAATGGATAACATCCGCTACACATAAAACCGTGAATATCTACAGTCTGTTCAGTTGGTGGAAAAATAAATTCTTCGAAATTTCATTACTCTCCATATTAGCCCATTTTTTGTTTAAAAAACCAAATAATCAACAATTTGAACAGTGAAATGATTTATATTATGTATAAACTATAGTTTGAGCCATTATCGGACTTTAAATAATTTGAATTTCCTACAGTTTCAAAACTTTCAGCTAAAAAAAATGAATCTGTTTATTAACGTGGTTTGTTCAGAAAATTGAATGCTGAAGACAAATCCGCGACAATATCACGGATTTTTTTTTCAATTAGCAGACAAATTTTTATTAGAATTGTTTTGTAAAAAGTGGCTTTTCTTTATTCCTTAAGTCATACTTCGATATAAGAAAGGTAAGATGGATTAGGGTGCAGATGAAAGTGACACTGAGAATATGGTGATAAATGGATATTTGAAAGATGCATCTGATTTGTTTGTCTATTAAAAACATATTTATTTGCAGAGCGTATAAATGTGTGCTTATGTACGTGATCAGAAAATACTATAGAGAAGTGGAATTGTCCGTGTTCTGCTGTCGTTGATGATGACAACATCTCTTAAAAAAAGGAAAAAACTTCTATCAGAGTAGTGATGATGATAGATGACAGTATTGATGATGCTGGTAATGTGTAATAGTCATATACTACGATTCCATACTGCAATTATGTTACTCTTTCGATATGGTGTGGAACAGGATGGATGGATTCTATTCCTGCTGGCATTATTGATCCATCTGTTCCTCACATTGTTTTCCGGAACAAAATTTGAGAGATTTCTTTCGCGAAAGATTACATTTTATTTGTCATTCTCTGATTGCATTCGTTCCTAATTGAAATTGTTATTTGAAGTAAAAATGTTTGTAGCCAGCCTCTTTAGATATTTGACATCATTTGCCATGGCAACGAGTGCTATTCTGATAAGAAATTTAGTCAGGCACGAGGACCTGATTTCTTAACATTATTTGACAAGTCAGAGAGTGCAGTGAATTATTTATTTTTATAAGGTGATGAATTATTTTCATGAAAAAAGTAATGTGAGTGAAAGAAAAGAGGAGAAAGATAGGCAAAGGTTTTCAAGCAAGTATAAATTATTTTCTATTGCTTTTCTGGACTTTTTTGTCAGGATCTAACTGTTTTTAAGATCTTAGTGTTTGGCTGGAAGTCTTGAAGTTATAAAAATAAATGAAATAATTTGCGTCATTCACTCGCTGTAAGATGATTATCATTAGACTTTCTATGATGCCTTAAGTTAATTGCTTGAGAGACGCTACTCCAATACTGTATTAATATTGCGTTTCGATATTAAATTGCATTTGCTACGCGGGCTTTTTTCTTTCTTTCTTTCTTTAACAGCGTAATAAATGCAGGACAGAAATGCAATATTTTGGAACAAGTAGGACTTTTATAGTCAAAGGAAATTACTCAGTGCGCTGAACATAAGTTACAAAGATAGCATACTATTCTAGATTCTTCTCTTTCCATTTTTCTGGGTTGGCTTCCGGAATATCTCTCTTATATTCTTGACAAGGTGGGATATCATGAAAAAAGTTAAGGAATTAAAAAGAGATGGAAATAAACTTTATTATCGTGAGAGCAGTAAGTTCATATCCTAATCCTAATTGTAAAGTTTGCTAGCCGAAGGCATTGCTTATTATTGTCATAGCTTCAACTCTTCTATCACAATCAGTACTGTTCTGATAAGAGACAGTAGGAAGGGACACAGCTTCACATTGCATATTTGAACCCATTAATGCCCTATTAGCGTAATCATTTTCTAAAAATGAGATAGAGAGGCTGCAACTGATATTACCTGTTTAGGGGATACGTCAATGTAGCTTACTTGATCACTGCTGACCATGGCAAAACTACCAGCATATCTACAGTACATATATCGTCGATTATTGTCGAGCTTCACTCCGGTATCGGCTATGTAATATAACATTCATCTATGGCGGACAAGTACTCAATTTGATCGGTGGCAACCCTATTAATTAATTTTTTGTAGGAGCTTTCAATAAAATCATATTTGTTAACCCGTGTATATGTAATTCATGCATCCTTAATCTTCAATCTGCAATTGAAATTTTCGGGAAATCTTTACTCGCATGCAACTCTCAAGCATTCTTCACCGTATTTCAATTTTATTTTGTTTCTTTTATTTCGTTTACAGTTGATTAAAGAAGAAAGGAAAAGCAACGTAATTTGTGAAGAAGAAAACGAAGAAGGAGAGGACGAAAACCGCGAGAGCGGTAAATTCGTGCGTCATCTGATTATGAATGTAACAGTTGGAGGAGTTGAATTACGGAAGTTGCTTTTCGTGTTGACATTCTTGGTGTTGGCTGCATTTAGTAATTGGATTGCCTTAGCTTACATCCATGATTTCGTTGGAAGGTTTGTTGTGTCGTTGACATATTTCAAATTTAATGATTTTTGGTTGCACCGTTTCTTCAACCTTTAATAATGAAATATAAATTTATAAGTGAGTAGATATAATCATTTGCTAAAATATTTTTCTTTTTCATTTATCTCCAAATATATTTCGTCTTTCAGATCAATTAAATTACAAAATTGCAGGGAGGCCTTGCCTGATATCGTCTTTTCAGTAGTACCAGAATTGCTGTGGACACTAAAAGTTGGTGATGCTATGGTTACACTTTGTTCGACTTCCTTTTTCACCTTACTTTTTCTTCATAAAAACCGTTTAATTATAATTCAACGAATTGCTTTTATTGTGGGTGAGTTCATTTGTTGCAAGCAGAATTTTAAATTTACCTTGCTATTAGTTTTAAAAGTGATAATATCTTCTCTGGTGCTCTCGATTGATAATTCATAGAGATTGACGAGATATAAAGCAATATGAATGTAGAACTATGCTAACGAAAAAGTATTTGGTTATTAGTATCGTCATTCTATTCAGTGTTTGTGCTAATTGCATCATCCTTTTCACCGAACATCCATCTTCTGTATTAGCTGCTTAATCACTATATAATATAACTTGGCATTTAGACTATTTGATCCACATCTAGTGGCATTAAAATTCCTGGCATTCACTGTACTTGAATTTCCTGAGAATTAAATTTCACGGGAAATTTTCATAGACATCAAGTGGTAAGTGTTATCAGATTTGGACCGGTCATTGTAGAACTGATAATCAAACTTATCAGTATTGTCTAACTTTGCAGCTTGTCTGTATACTATGCGAACAGTATCACTACTATGTACACAATTACCTCCTGGTTATATCGATAATAATAAGCGTTGCCGAAGTCAAAACAATCATACGGATCGAGATTGGGATATTATTGCATGGCGTGTCTTGTCCCAGGCCGGAAAACTCGGATTTCAGGTTTTTATATAAGTAACTTTTCTATAGCTATGTTTACGTAAATTTCTGTGCCAGAGTTTTTTGCATTCCGGTCTCCAAACTATTTCTGATTTTTTTTTTAAATTTTAGCATTAAGTTCAAAAACAAATGATGACAGTTTTATTTACTCGCTGAATAATTTGAAAGCTGTTACCCATCATTGCATAGACAAAAATCGTATCTAATTGTAATCATTCTTTCCGCCTTCCAACCCCTCTCCCCTGTTCCGTTTGTTTCATTCCGCGAAAAATGATTGTGGAATCACTGAAGCACAAAAATTTTAAAGCTTTCTTGCTGATACCCATATTTCCAATACACGAATAATTTGTAAATAGTGGTATAAAGATCATTTCAGCTAATTGAACTAGACTTTTGGTTTTTAGGATCTTTATCCTGGAATTTTTGTTTTCAGGATATGGATGACGAAATGTTATGTGGTGATTTATTATTCTCAGGTCACACACTAGCTATGGTTGTCAGTTCATTAACAGTTGCTTATTATTTGCCAGATTCATTTAGACCACTCAGGTGTTATCGAAGTCTTTATAATTTTTTTTCCAAAAAAATCTAATTTAATATAATATTCGTATCAGGTTAGTTCTGCAGATATATACCATGTATGTTATCATGGGTCGGCATGATCTGCATGGTTATTAGCAGGACTCATTATACCATTGATGTTCTTTTTGCTTATTGGCTGTCAACTGCTGTATTTAGGTTAGTCCTCTGTTTGTTAATGCTGGATTGGTAGGATAATAAAAATAATGATTAAAAAGAAAAAAAAAGAGATGAATTTGGCTACTGATTCCTCATCATTTCATTTTTCTGAGATGAAAGGATTTGTGTCAGTGTAAAAGTTTTGAGAAGTTTGAAATGGGTAATCATATATACTTGTGACGATTATTCTATTTTATCGTGCATGAAGATGAATGAGCAAGTAAGCAGACCAGGATCGATTTAGTTGCGATAAATATTAAATAAATCGAGACTGCGATCCCCTTTCAGTAGCTACTAAGGTTACGCCTCCTCCGCATCTTCCTGTCGTTCAGATTTGATCCGTACCAATATTAAAACATCTGATAAGCTGCCTTTCTGCAGTGATTTCTTGAGAAAAGTTGACATTGTGCGGATCATCTACTTAGCTTGATTCATTCGTGTGCTTATTACAGTTTATCGTTTTTCCCTCTTGCATTCTTTCACTTGTTTGTATTTTCAGTATTTATCACGCATTCTGCGAAATCGATTTAATAAATCGCAAATTATCAGTTCTTTATCGATTGTGGGTCGTGCAAATTGTCGATTGGCTAGAAATCGATATTACACCCGGAAGGTTGTTTCTTTTTTTGATAAAGAGAAAATGTGATTCAGTTTTGCCCTCAGAAAAATAAATGATAACCGAAAGAGTGTTGCGGTATGGGAAACAGACAGAATTACAAAGTAAAACGAGACTTAGTCCTTTATGATAATATAAGCATCGTCATTCTAATCAATCCTGATCAGAAATTTTGTTTCTCTGTCCTTCTTTCATCTTAATTTTTGGTTTCAGTTAATTGTTGCTCATAGACAAAATCAAACTTTTTTACATTCATATTAAGGTACCCTGTTTACTTTATAGTGCATATCACTGAAAGTCTTCTAGGAACCACCGTAATCTTAATGGAAATACCAAAAACATAAGTGCTGCTGATTGATCTGTAGACCCGTGAGCATTAGATAATTGTAAGGTTTAATGAATTTGAGTTTGGATTTTTCATTAATTTCTGACTTTTCAGATCTCTGAACATAGTTTAGAGTTCAAGGATTTCAAAAATCAAGAATCCTATTCAATAAATGTAACATAATTAATTGTTCTATTCATTTGAAGGCTAATCATGGAATATTTTTCAGTACTGTTCATTTATTTTTTCGAGACATAGGGTCATTTTCGGGAAACATACGACATGCATGGCCAAGACGACGTATTATGCTCTCTTTTAAATTTTATTGCCACTAATAGAATTTGTTCAGTTGACTCTATTAAACTCGATGTTTGCCCTTTTCCAGGCTAGAAAATCGTTTCGAGTTTCCGTTACTTGTACATCTTTATAAATGGTGGAGTAGTCCATCAAGGAACCGTTACTACACTCAGAAGAGTAACTGTCATCATCAGAGGCAGCACCACCAGCAACAGCAGCAGCAGCAGCAGCAAATCCCCGCTTCAAGTGCATTCCCTATATGATCTCAGCCTTTTGTTGCTTTTTATCCGCCGATTATGGCAATGACTTGCAAATTAGATTTAATTCAAGCTGGAATTTAATTTGAAAGTGTTTGGCGAAAAAAAAAGTAGAATTCTTACTTAAACGCAGAGGATTTGATACGGTTATGTTAACGTATTACGGGTAATTTGGGAAGTCCGCTCAATGCTTTGGTGTTCCAGAGTTGGCATTAAAATCGTCGAGAACCCGAAACAATGACTTGCATTTGCTTTTATTGCATATTACTTCTAGAAGTAACACTAATTGGTGATTATTTGTTCCAGCTGCCGTCGTTGTATTTTACTTCTTCCTACTTGCCTTATTTTCCTGACTTTTCTTCGTAAACCGATATAATCCTCAGGCAGGATTTCAAGTTTTACAAAAGACTTCAAATTATTAATGATTGAGAAAGATAAATGAAAACCCATATTCTTGAAATCATTTTTCCTCTCAGTCGTCTTATTTTTCATCAATGTATTATCAAAAGTCATATTGAATTTTCTGAGTTATTACATCGGCAGTCATACGATTTTAATATGTTCTGTACTTGCTCAGTTCGATATATTGTGTGCGTAAATCATATCAAAATATGTATGTAAATGTTCGTATCACCAGTAAACATTACGACAATGATAAAAGTTTCTTGCAAAGTTAGGAGATGTCATAATGATAAAGGCTTAACACCTTGACAGTGCACTCCCTGAAAGTAATGAGAAAGTAATCAAGGAACCACAACTAGTGTAAATCATTGCTGCTCATGTGAAGTGCATGGATGGGGCCCAATTCTGTAACCAATATATTTGTAGGATAATGATTTTCATAACGTCATTATGTAGTACATCCGTACCACTTTGGCACCAATCCAGCACGGGAAAGGATTTCCTCACGGAAAATCGTGTAGAGCTTTGAGCTATGGTAAATTCAGTAGACATCAATTGTAGGACAGACTGTGTTTCGGGTCATGCATAGGGTGTCTTCATAACGTATTGTTGTCCCAATCTGTATTTGCCATCTAATTAATCAAACTTGCCGTGCATAAAAAATCGATACGGCATGGTCTTCAGGTAAACTCGTTCTGGTGAGATGAAGTGAACGGCATCTTACAAAAAACATTACAAATATGGCAGTAAGGTGTGTGGGCCCTAATAAAGCAAAGTGATTAAGAGCTAACAAGATGTCCTCCTCATGTTTTAGCACTAATTTTGTAGAGTTTGTTTGCGCTGTTGTTTTATTTTAGTTTTTTATTTTATTTATTTATTTTTTTTGCTGAATGAAAGTTTAAGTTAGTATACTGATTGTAGTAGAGACTTATGAGGGGATGTGGTGATTTTTACAACTTTTCATTTTTAATGTTGGTAAACGCATAAAATTATTCGAATATTTCCTTACCCAATAAAGTGACATGATTTTGCTGATGATCTTAGTATTAATAGCAGTATATCTGCTACAGCTTTCTATTATTGAGAAGAATTAATATATTTATACGCTCTTTTTGAGCCTTTTTTGGCACTGTTTTGTACTGAAGGCTATGTTTTTTTTTTTATTACTGTTAATTAAGGAGTAGGTACATAGTTTCACGGTATTGACTACATTGCTGTGGCTATGCTTTCGTGTGCTGTTTTTGTTTACTTTAGATTGCCATCTTCAGTGAATTTTTGCAACAAAGTTTGAAAATTATCTGGTTTCATCATTCCAGCTATAAATAAAACGCTGACTGTATTGCAGCAGATAAATCAGTTAATCTTCGTTATGTAGATCTCACTTTTTCAGTATTAAATATTCGCTAAAGTGTAAGTGTTGCTGAAAGCGCGGAAAGAAATTTTCATTTTTTTGGGATATATACCAAGGCACACTGGTGAGTTTAATACATTATCTCATGTAATATTGATTCGGTAAGCACTATTACTGTTAGTAGTTCATGCAGTGAACTTGGAACAAATGTAGTAAGAGTTTCACTTTTACAGATCTAGATTGAGTTTTTCTTCGAAAATGTTATGACAGCTTTAAGGAAGGTATGAAAAATTACGTTGAAGAAGATTCGCTTTAGGAAAAGTACGTCGACGAAATTACCGGAAAAATTGTTCATAATTTGGATGAGAAGTATTTAAGAAGTAAAACAAGAAAAATACATAAAGCAAGAAAGCTTTATGTTTTACAGCGAACTTCAGGAGATCTTACACTACTTTGGTTTATTGTTGTCGGATCCCGTGCAGGTCGATTCTCGTCATAATCGCACACATCTGTGCCAGATTCTTGATGCACCGTAGTTCTGCATTCTGTGATTCGGATTGCACATTTTTCTGCCTTATAACTTGCATTAAGGTCCTTATTTATTCATTTGTGCGATTTTGATTTTACTTGGGCGGCTGTCGCCGAATTTCACTTTACCGTTTTCCCCATTTTCATTGTGTTGTCAACATTGTGAGGCAAGTTCTTTCATATATCGTACTGCCTAAAATGAAGAATAGAGCATTTTTCTAGAATAGTTTAGCTGATCAATTAAACACCATTTATCTCATCAGATCAATACAAAATTTTGGTATAAGTTATTGAGTTTCATCGGCTATTTTTATATTTTATTCTTTGAAGAAGTATTTCTGATATTGATGAAGGTCTTTAAATTTTCGCTTTCCTTATCATGGGAAATAAGCTTTGCCAATGTGATTGCTTGCTCTAGGTATGAACATCAGGATCATAAAGAAGGGTAATGTTAAATATGACAAAGGTTGAAAATAAAGTAGAGGTATAATATATTTTAAATATTGTGCTCTTTTTTTTTCGGTGATTTTTCTCTCATTTTGTTCAGTGTTTTCATCATTTTATGGTTATTGTACGACTGCTAGTACATGAAGTTGTTTAATGGAATACGTTGACCTAAAGGCTACAAGTGCTTTCATCCATAAGTTGATTTCAGGGAGCGACGTTGTGAAATTTGACGAGTGGACCTTGAGAAGCAAGAGGTGAAGCCTATATTAATTTCATCAGATGCTTGTTGTGATTTCTTCAACAAAAACTGGGTAAGAAAAGATTAGCTCCAACAAGAATGACTTCAAAAGAAGAACGCAAAGTATTAGCTATACAGAAGAAAAAGAAACGAAAGAATAAAAAAAAGGTATTCCTTTTAGTTCCAGATATTTGTTCGCATTATTCTAGTTGAAATAATCTCTGAGAAATCCGTAGTAGTGGAATAAAAAAAGAGGCCAAAGGGGAGAACGAAAAGGAAAAGAAAAGTGATATAATGTACTTTTTTTTCCGAAATTTTTTTAAAATGTGGGAAATAGTTCGTGGACCATTGTATTTGGAGAAACATCTCATTTTGGAAGCCATTTGTTGATTCTGTCGGTTAGTGATATTTAGGGTTAATTTGAACTTATAGTCACGAATTTTTTTGAAACTTGATCTGTATCCTTTTCCAAAAAAAAAAAAAAAAAAACTAAGTTTTAATTTCTAAGAATGTTTGATTTTCTTGACTTGTTCGGAAGTTCGACCCTGCACGCTTTCGTCTTGCCATCATACTCTTTCCGGTTTTTTAGCAAACTTATTTTACCTGTCCCATAATCACCATTTTGAAAAAAATCGTCAATTTTGTTAAAGTTACTCAAAATTTTGCCTTCTCCTTATCTTTTTTCCTTTATCACGTAATACAGTTTTATTCCTTTGATTTTTTTTAGTTTTTTTTTAGTTTTTTTTTTTGAATACTGTGATACTTCGAATTTTTACTAAATAGCAACCTCATATTTCCTCCATTTTTTTCCAACTGATATTTACGAATATTGTGGAATTGTAATAATATATTAATTTTCAGTAGGATAATAAAAACTTGATTTTTTGGATTTCTTAGTTTAGTTGATGGTATTATATTATTAAAAAATTATGTATTTCATAATCATAAATATGTAAAAAATAAAATAATTCCGGTCAAAAAAGACAGTTTTCCCTAAAAGTATCAGTACTAATTTTCCATGAACATGTTTATTCTTCAATGAAAATTAGAGAGAGAAATATTTTTATAATTGAAGACTTATATTTTTCATATTCCTTCTCCACAGAAATTGCATATCTACAAATCGTGAGGCATAATTCGCCAAGGAACAAAACAGAGCTAATTGTCACGGCGACTTCATCTTCGCCATTACGAATTGCCCCTCCATTTTTTTTTATTGTATTTCAATTTTTTTTCCCAATTTTTTTTTAACCCCAGTATTTTATAGAAGTTATCTTCATTTTAAAAATTTACGGCTGTTACATTTATTCTCTCCTACCATCAATTAATGTTTTAGCTTCATAAATTTTATGGTGAAAGATTTAATTATCGCCAGCTCTCTTGTCCAATTCTGGATTGCAGCTGTTTGAAAATTGCTTCAACTCTCTAGCAACTTTGTGTTTTAAAACCAGTTGCTGTCCCGTTTTTTATTTCGAAATAAGATTATTTTAGTCTTGTCGTATTCTGTATTTGTTAATTTATTATATTATTTATTATATTATGTGTTTCTTAATCAGATTTTTCTTAATATTTTCAATCTTACAAACTGGTGCAGATGTTCTCAACTTATTGGAATTTTCAGAATGGAACAAAAAAACCCCCTCAAGTGGTTGCGAATGGCGCTGAACAAATTAATTCCTCAAAATCGTTAGTTTGGATTTTTTTTTTTCTGAAATAAGTAATCCATGTTAAAAAAATTTTTCGCCCGAAAGTGCAGTGAAAATGAAGGCCTGGAAGAAATTTTGTATCTAGGAAAAATGAACATTCTGGTACATTTCTTCGAGTAGGTTTTTCTGGATTATCTCCTTCTATTAAGTGTTCAAAAAATTAATTTTCAGTGCGCCCATTTTATCCTAAGCTGAACTGTCGTATTTTTAAATTCATTTTAACTTCGGAAGGATTTATTCTAGTCAATTTTTCTCTTTTTTTCGAAGTTCTAGTTTCTGTATCATAACTGCCTATGATGTTATAAACCAAATTTAGTAAGAATCCTGTGTTCACAATACTCGTCGGACACATTTTTAATCTGGATTTGGAATGCTGATATGCTTTGGGTGTTTGAACTTTGAATTAAGTAGGTTAATTTCATGACATCAAATGGCTAACTTTTAGTGTTGTGCATTACTTAGGCAGGATATAAAGGGCACGGAATAAATGTGCTATTTTTTTTTATTTTTATTTATTTATTTTTGTTAATATTTAAGTAATCACATCTATTTCTCAACGGAAACTATTTTCCGTTATTCATCATACTCATATTTTCACCAGGCTAAATCGCTTTGCTTGTCCAAATCATCCTAGAAGTCAAAAAAATGAATGACTTTAAAGTACCGGAAGAAATTAAATAAGTTTTTGAGGACTTGTTTAAAAAGTTGTGTAGTATTGATAGTTTATTGAATAGATCCTTTAGTTTTAACGTAGTAATAATAAATATATTAGTTCAGAATTTCAGTGCTTTAGATAAAAATAGGAGACATGTGTGAGCGGATTTCATTCTCTGTTTGAGGGCCAAATTTCCGCCAGAGGTCCTTTTCACAGTTTTGATGAGTCGTATTCCTCTGCCTCCTTCATTCTTGTTTGATGTAAACATTTTTTTAGATTTTGGATTTAGAATTTATTTACTGATTAGCATATGATAAAGTGTGATATTATCTTTCTTATTGAGGCTCTGCATTGAGTGGAATTGAGCCATTAAGGCTTAGTTATTCTTTGATCGAGGAGTAAAAAACTTTTTACATGAGTTGTTCTTTTCCTTTTAAAGCTTCTGCATCGCGTGTATAAGTCTCCTGCAGGTTTACATCCGTTAAAGTAATAAGCTTGTTGAAGATATTTCAAAGCTAGCGTCGTTTACTGCGCTTAAACTCTTATATGTTAAAATGATGTCAGAACTGTGTGAGATTGGTTTTTTTCAAGCCTTTGAACTCTTCCTAATCTCTCCAGTATCTTTTCTCAAAAAATTTGTTTCCCTGGTAACTGATGGAATATTTTCTAGTAATATTTCTGCGAAAGTTTCGTCTGTCATCTGCTGAAAATAGAAATTAGAATTTACTTCTAGTAAATTTTCGTCATTTTTCTTTCTGTACCTCTTATTTCTTTATTTCTAAATTATATTGAACTTGTGTGTCGTCTCTCCAGAATTCTTCAAGGAGCTGTATAAAACTTTGAAACACGAAGAACCTGACATAGACATCTCTTGATTCTAATTGCTGAGCTTGGCTTCCGAACTGTCACTTATTATCGTCACGATAACTTATGTGACCAATTATTATTATTATTATTATACATGAACATCTGTAGAAACTTCGGAAGGAGTCAAATAGAATTTGTGATCATTACTTTGCCAGACTGCAAAGAAAATCTTTTTCGCTGTGACATTGCTTGATTGCACTGTTGAAGTGTGAATTAGTAACGGATTTAGTTTGCTACATTTTGTCTTATTTTCTTTATTTCTAATACTTTTTTTTCAACGACGGTAAACAGTACATCACGTTTTCACTTCTATTATTCGTTAAACGTAATTGTAGTTAAACGTAAGTAACGGAATTAGAATCCAATAAGGCTCAAGTATCCAAGCAAAGGATTGACAAAAACGAAGCAATTTTCGGGTTTTTTAGCTAAAAGATGACTGCAATACAAATCAGTCAATTTGAAGAGCAGTGCGAAAGTAAGAATAAGAGAACAAGAGGTACTGGTATACCTTCTATCGATGTTTGTTTTGGTGTATATATTAAGATTAAGACAGAAGGATATGATTGATTTGGCGATGTTGATGGAAAGTAAAAAAAAAAAATGAATACTGGGAAAAGAACGGGAAATTCCATCACAGATTACCACGGGTTATGAAGTACTCTCTTCTCCAAATTCTTTAGCAGTTCCTGAGGTTGCTAAACTTTCCGCATCCAGAAGTGACAAACAAAATCAGATGATAATTATGGTGATAAATTTTTGTCAAATTGTGCTACATCTTACGAGTCAGTTTATGAATTAGAACAACGAATAATCGATGAGGAATCATCGCGAATTCCTTCAAAACAAGATTTGTGGGCAGTGGAAGAATCTAACATAAGCAGTAATATTAGGAAATCAAATGAAAAACCTTTAAATTCTGTCAAAATGAAGGAATTTGTTTCTGAAAGCACAGATTTTATGACCACATTAAACTCAGAAGAGGGAAGAGAATATCAAACGTCAACGCTCCACGAACATACAGAGGCTTTGGATAAGGATGAATTGTTGTCAGCAATAACTTTAGAACATGATGGTGAATTATTTGCTCCAAATGCAAAATTAGAACAACCATTTGATGCACTTAGAACTGATTCTCTATCAAGGTTTTCCAAAAATTCGAAATCTTCATTGCTTCCATGTTCTTTAGGCACTTCATTATTTCCACATCGCTATCCACTTTTGATATCAGACAATATCCAACAGCCTCCGAATTTGTATTTGCATGCAAATTTACCACTCTGCATTGATTGTTTAGAGAATGTACATCAGATAGCATGGTCTGAAAAAAAAAATCTATGCAAATGATACTCTTTCACTGCCATCTCCATTAAACAATCAACTTTTATATAACCGTAAAATCAGATGGGATTCAGATGCAACTAATTCACAATTTGGCAATGAGCAATTTAATTATGGGTTAGCATTTCATCTGTGAACTACGGTAAAGGCATTGTGGACTCCAATTGTATTTATCTCAATTTATCATCAAAATCATTATTTTATGCTGAATCTGTTTGATTTTGGATCTTATATTTCGATTTGTCGAAATGATATTGAAAATACAGAATTTATGTTAATTTCGGAACTTGAGAGAATTTATGAAATAAAATCTCCTAATCTAATTCCTGAGGGAAGCGATCCCTTTTTGAGTTGTTGCGATACATTATTCGAAAACGGAAATGGTAGAGGAACTCCGCTTGTAATCCCACCGAGGTAATTTTTTTTACCTTATTTGTTCGGGTTTTGTAGGCTGTAGTTACGCTAAATTATTTCTCGGATGGTTTTGGATTTCTCGTCAAACTTTTTTTTACAAATAATTTAGATGGCTTAATGCGCAATTATGCTAATTATTTTTGCAACTGCAATATATTTGATATGAGCTACAATGTTAATTTCCTACTTAAACTTTCGTTGATCTTACATATTAACATATTAATTTAAAGCAAAAAAGGAAAAAATACACATGTAAATAGAAATAGAATATTTTTTTGTTCGCTTAATTTGAAATTTAATGAAACAAATTTAATATGTTTGCTCATTACAGAGAAAAGTACTTTAAAATATCTACTATAATCCTGTTATCGGCTTGTGTGATTATGGTATGGTATTAGTTCCACAACACCATATTTAACGCTTTGTTTTTATAGGTTTCGGATTTCAGTATTCTAGTATTTCCTGCGTTAGGAGTTAGCATTTTTTTATGTTAAATCATTTGATTTTTAAAAAACATGTGTAACTATATTTGTATTTTTTTTTAATTTACCAGTTCTTTGCCAAATTTCATATATTGAACTTATCTCATTTTGAATATTTTTGTGGTTTAGACGTCAGTAGAAATTTTCAGTGATAACGTCTGCTGAATCCTTATAGTTTTTTATGCTTCAGAAATTCAATTTTCAGTCTTATTTTTTACAGTGGAAATGAAAATAAAACGATAGCATCTGCAAAAGCAAGTGTTAACAGCAATGATGACGAAACGAAATTGAAAAAATCGAAAACCTTCGATGGCAGTGTCTCAAGAGAAACTCATAAATTTCTTGTTGAGCCTAAGGTTACAGCAAGTGCCCTAATGAACTCATCAAAAACTTTGGGGAATGGTGTTCTTCAGCAGCAGAATCGTCCTGTTACTCCACTGGTACCCAGCAAAGCATTGTTATGTTCAAATTTGGTTTTTTAAATATTTTTTTGACGATATTGTCTTTTCCGGACGTCATCTTAGTTTTTTGTAGTGTAACAGATGTTTTATGAAAATGTAAATTCTTTTCAAGAATGGATTCATCCCTATTTTTGTCTTTCCGTTGTTGCAGTTCCGGGAAGTTTTAGTTTTATTTTTTTTATTGAAAGAGTCTTTTAGCGTATTTTTTGCAATTTCAGAACTTTCATGGCGCAAATCACAGATTTCCTTGTACCCTGTCGCCGGGTACGAAAACGATGCTTCCAGATAATTCTTGTAATGGCCCATCAGCTGGTTCACCAAGTGCAGGGAGTGAAAGCGCTTATGGTGATGATGAAATGGAACGAGAGCAGGTATGTACGGCTGGACTAGAAAAATAATTTTCATAAGTTACTTTATCTCGCAGTTTGCCGATTTTGATTTTATTTACGTCTTAAATCTATTTCACCGGTCTTGCTAAGTTTTTGAGATTTTAATCTTGGTTTGATTGCTGAAAAATGAAAATAATGAAGTGTCAGTATGAATCAACAACCGTTATAGATGTGGGCTCTGATTAAATTTAGACTTCCAAATGTTTTTTGAAGTTCCATGTTTTCATTTAATTCTTGTTTGATTGTTTTCTTAAGGAATCTTACTTTTGTGGTTGGTCTTACGTATTTGCACTGCATTAGACCAATGAAACTTCAAAAATGATACTAGAAGAAGTATTGTGGCAAATTTAGGAGGAAGTGCTTGGAAGTGATGATGAAGAACAGGAGGATCCTAAGGATTATCGGAAAGGAGGCTACCATCCTGTTGCAATTGGTGATGTATTCAACGGACGGTAATTGTTACTAGTTTCGGATGCTTGTAAATACCACTTGACACTTTATAATGTATAATTCTGTTGAATTAATCCATTACTTTTGGGCTTTGTTTTGTAGTTATCATGTGATTCGAAAGATGGGATGGGGCCATTTCTCGACAGTTTGGCTCTGTTGGGATACAGCACAGATGCGTTTTGTTGCGATGAAAATTGTGAAGTCGGCTGAGCATTACACAGAAGCAGCGTTGGATGAAATCAAAGTAATAACCTTTATGAGATTATTATGAAGTTTGGCAAACTTGAATATTTTATATTCTCATTTGGACATTTCTGAACTTTTGAAAGCCTCATAATTTCGACACTTGGTATAGTTTTCTCATATGAAAGAAGTGAAAAAGAGATGTAAGATCTAAGTTTCTTATATTTCGACACTCAACCGATCTGGAATTTATTATGAACTGGTTTATTGATTTCCTCAAAATTTCCGGTTTTATTGCTTGTTTTATATCTTTTGTTTATTTTATATGTTTTATTGTGTTTTACTGCTTATTTATGTGATTTCTTTTTGTAAATTTTAGTCAAAATTGTAGTTGCTAATGGCAGTACGTGATGCAGACGAGAGCGATCTATTCCGTGAACGGGTCGTGCAACTTCTAGATGAATTTTCAGTAACTGGCGTTAATGGAACGCATGTCTGCATGGTTTTCGAGGTTATTTTTTTCTTTGCTAGTATGTAAGAATGTTAGCATTGCTTTATTTAATTTTGTGTAACTTTATAGTATTGCTTTGTTTGCATGAGAATTGGATGCATGACATGAATTAATATCATATTTTAGGAAAACTTCTTTCAATTCATGTGTAAAAATAACATGATCTATGAATAAAATGTTATCACCATACTGTTCTGATTAAACTTGCTCATAATGCATAATATATAATGGATAACATCAATTGATCTACATCACGCGGTGTTTTTTTTTTTTTTTTTTTGTGAAAAAGTTTTTTTAGGTCCTTGGATGTAACTTACTAAAGCTGATCATCAGAAGTAATTATCAGGGCCTCCCGTTAGAGCAAGTGCGTGTTATCATTAAGCAAGTATTGGAAGGATTACAATATCTTCACGAGAAGTGCCAGATTATACATACTGATATAAAACCAGAAAATGTCCTTGTTACAATGACACATGAACAAGTGAGACGGGTATGTAATATTTTATCACTTTGTTTTTCATTTATGTGTAAGGATATAGAGATGCGATATAGATTTTGTCTTTCTCATTTTCAAAGCAAAAAAAAGGGACTTATTTCTTAAAAAATCAGTTCTATGAAAAAAGAAAAGTATTTATTCCCAGATTCTGATCTTTGATGTAATTTCCTTTTCTGCTAAGCATTTGGAAATCGTTTTTAGAAATAATTATGCTGTTAATGTAATTTCCATTTGAAATTTTCCATATTTTTTTTTCGATATAAGTACTTTTTTCAACATTGAAGATCGCAGCAGAAGCGATTTTATCGGGCAAAATGGGCTTAAAATTGTCGGGAAGTGCTGTAAGTACAGCTCCGCAACATATGGTTAAAAAAGTATGTTTTTCTTAAGCAAAATAATTTCTTTAGAAAATAAAGCGATTATCATTTTTGTTTACCGAAAGGCTAGAACTTAAGTTTATAATATATCTAGATATGTGTATTCTGGTTTTTATCTTCCATTGGACAACCTCATCTCTGCAGGCGCAGTTTTTTCGGCTTTTGGCGTTTTCTTTTGTCTGTACTGTAAGAACAATAAAAATTAAAGTCTTAGCTTCTGCAGGTTGAAGAGGCAATGTCAAAAAACAAGAAGAAAAAGTTAAAGAAGAAACGAAAGAAACAACGCGAATTACTAGAGCAACAGTTAGTGCAGATGGAAGGATTAACTGTCGATCCAAACGTTGTGCTTTCTTCACTAAATCCCGAGGAACGAAACAAAGTTTGATTTTCGGTTCTCTAAATATCTTTGATATAGTAGGAAACCGAAAATGAATTTCTGCATTGGATTTTGGGGTTATTTGAAAAAAATTTGAAATTATATTTCAATCTTATATAAATTTAATTTTAATATACTTCAACCCTTATAACATTTTCATTTAACTTGAGAATAAACTCGCAGTGCACAAAGGAAATTGTTTTTTAAACTTTCTGCAAACCTGCTTTTACGAGATTTACACATAGGTTATAGAGTTCAGTTGATTTCAGTTCTCTTTATTTCGAGACTAGATATAAGAAAAAATTTGATGAACTCATGGTGCTTACATGAATTGCAATTACATAGTAACAGTATAATAATGGTTTAAGAATTTCTATTCACTATTCATTTGAGATCTTTAGGTCTTTTTTAGGTTTATTGAAGTAGATTTTTTGGTTTGGTGTAACAAGTCGCAGTAATGAATTCTAAGTTGTTCTTGCATACTATGAGCAGTTTTACCTACTAGTTTTACAAGATTTATAGGTTATAGAGTTCAGTTGATTTCAGTTCTCTTTATTTCGAAACTAAGATATAAGCGAAAATTTGATGAATTCATGGAACATACATGAATTGCAGTTACTTAGAAAACAGCACAGCAACGGTTATGATGCTAATATTAGCAGTCGGTATGCAATACCCGAATTGTTGCGTTCTGCAGCCATGACCACTGCGAAAATGTCCAGTGGAAATAATGCTAGTATGAGTGCAGGACCTCATGATAGTGGTGTTACCAATGGTATTATTCGTTCATATGCAAGTCATTCAGTGGGTGCTAAGCCAATAGCAGCAGTTCTGTGAAATACGACGTACTTGAGTGTTGATGAGCAGTATAGATATAATCAGGTACTTGGACGCTGTATCCGTAGTTGTGAAAGGCCTGCACCCACGGCCAATGCAGAATCATATTGACGAAAATAAGATTAGCTGAACTTAGTAATAGTACTGCCTTTTATGGACTATAACAAAAGTAAACTGTTAGGTTGTGCGTTCTGTTAGATTGAGCGATACGATCATCAGTCACAACTTAGTTTTAAAATGTATGGTTAATAAAATTAATTCAGTGTGTGTGGTTATGGAGAACAGTTGATAGTAGTTATAAAGCTACAATGGATTGTATGGATAAACACATCACATGCGATAATTTAGGTTATATAATATGTATAGGGTGGATGAAATAGTTGCATAGTTTAACGTTGGCTGTGGGTACTTCAGGGCTATAATCGTATTTAAAGTTGTAGATGTTGGTTACTTAGTCCTTATTATTAGGCAGCTCTAGAATTTAACTCATATTTTGTTGCTAAATAGCATGTTACTAAATAAAACATCATAGTGTCATTTTAGAATAGGATGATTTATTTCTTTTCATCTTATTCCCAGTTCTTACCTGATTTATGATATGATGTCATCATCTGAGACTCATCTTTACAAACAAACATATGCATGTGCTTGCTGATAATATATAATATTGTTCATACATTGCTCCTCCCGACATCACAATTATATTCAATTCAACTAATTATGGATGCGTAATTAATGAATCTTCATTTAACTTCAAACGTATTTCAAAGATGAGAAACTATTGGTAACATTTAGCATCACTTCACTCCATTTGTTCGCTCAACTTGTTTAGTTAATTTATTTTATTAGTACAACTTTTGCGTAGTGATTTTTCTGAATCTTATTACTAGTGTCATGCATCAGCATCATTTTTTTACAAGAAGCGATTTCTTAGCTTTCTTTATGGTGTATAATGTTTTCAAGTAATATACAAATGCTTTGAACGATAGGTGTACTTTTTTAGCGGAAAATATTGATTTTTGAAAAATTTTTTTGTTTTTATAATGTAAAAGCATTTTAAATATTTTTTAAATTTGTATTTCTTTTAAGCATAAATCAGAAATAGTGGCAACGAAAGCTGAAGACGTACAAATAAATGATTCCGTTGGAGAGGATACTTCTATTTGTCCGACTACACAGCAGAATCAACGTACTTCAGTTGAGGTAGGTGGCTTCAGCTGATACTCTTACCGAAGAAAATATGCGTATAACGTTATTTATTGAATATCGTGTACTTACCCTTAGAATTTCTAATTTCATGGGTTTATTTCAAGAATTGTGTTTAAAGATGTAGATACATTTTAGATATCACTCGAAAATGTTGCACTCAAAGCTGTTGAAGTAAAAGATGCAACAGAATATCCGCTGTTAACCCCTGCCAGTGACAATGATTTGGGTAAGTTTTGATGTTTTTTTTTTTAATTTTGTAATAAATGCGGTGAATCACTCCCTTTTTTGTAGCAGTTCCGTGTTATTAACAATCAGATTTGATTTTTTTATTCTCTAACATGTGAAAAATGTTTTGTTACGTAATAAACCTTAATACTTCCGCACAGGAACGAACTCATTTCGGAATTTTTTTTTTTTTAGGACTGATAACCATAGTATCGAAAGCTTTACAATACTACATGAGTTGTTAGTGATTCATTTTTCTCTTGTTCAAGATTGCGTATTATGTTCTGCTTCACAGTTCAACGTTACAGCTGTGGAAAGACCAGCACGATTTTTACCTCCTATAGAGTCAGATGCTCGTTCAGAGAATGAAGTGAAAGAGTCAGCTCTGCAACTTCTATTAGAAAAAGACGGTTTGTCGCCGAAACGTTTGGAGCCAGATTACTTAAATCCGGCTATTGAAATCAGTGTTAAGCTTGCTGATTTGGGAAATGCTTGCTGGACGGTTTGTTTTCATTTGTGATAATCAAATAATTCCGAGTGAAAATCAGTTATCTAGCTTTACCAGAGTAATATACAGTGTATCGTTATCTCTTAAGTGGAACATCACATCCATTAATTACATATATATATATATATATATATGTTTTTTTTTTTTTTTTTTTTGTATCATTTTTTAGTGTGTTATCCTTTTTTTAGCATCATCATTTTACGGAAGATATCCAAACTCGACAATATCGAAGTTTAGAAGTACTCATAGGTGCTGGTTATGGTCCACCAGCTGATATTTGGAGTACTGCTTGCATGGTTCTTATTTATTGACTTGATTTACAGATTTTCAGAAATGTAGTTTCTAACCTAGTGTAAGAGGCACGCATAAAGTTGAAAAGTATAAAAAAGTGGATTTGTATTGGGATGTTAACAAAACTGTCTTATTATAATTGGATTCATTATCTGATTAGCATAATATATATATATATATATTAGTGATTCTTTATTTCTATGAACTCAGCTCTTTCTCTATTAGCTACTCCGTTGAGTATGTTTGAGTAATATTATTTGCGTAGTATGTTTGAGTAATATTATATTTATAATTTTCAGGCATTTGAATTGGCGACAGGCGATTATTTGTTTGAACCTCATAGCGGTGATACATACAGTAGGGATGAAGATCATTTAGCACATATAATCGAGCTTCTAGGAACTATTTCTCCCAGAGTTTACAAAAAAGGAGCTCACTGGCGTGAATTCTTTGATAAGGTGACACTTTCTCGTGAAATTTTGAGAGAGCTTTGGCTATCAAATGACGTGTGGAAATATTTACTGAAGTTTTATGCTATATCTAAATGTATGTGATTGAATAATGCGATGATATGGTTTCTATCAGTGTAAAGCTACTTTGATTTACTAAGAATTTACCCAGTTGGACCGAACATAGAATAATAATTTATTCGTAGGTTGTTTGATTTTGACCTTAGGTACAAGTCTACACAGATTGACCTTTGTTTTAGGAATATTGCTACTAATTTTTCAAATGATGCTTTGTAAAAAACTATAATTTTGCAGCATGGGCGTTTGCTTCATATTCACCAACTAAAGCCGTGGTCTTTGGTGGAAGTGTTAACACAGAAATACGACTGGCCAATTGAATCAGCCGGACAGTTTGCTTCATTTCTCATTCCGATGTTAGCATTTGATCAAGAAGAGCGAGCGACGGCTCGACAATGCTTACGGCACGACTGGTTAAAACCGAATGGTGGTAAACCATTACATGAAGTGGAGAAGCAACAGGTGCAAGTGTCATTGCAGAACGAACTACCTCCGATTCTTGATCCATCTTCTCTGGTTAATATTTTTTGTTGTTTAATTTGAATTGTGAAATTAGCTGTCAAATGTCCATGGTATAGAAATGTGGTGGTTTTAGTCTAATGGATGGTGGTATTGTACTGAAATTTTTAAGCTATGCTTCTCGAAATAATCGTTCAATGCTCGTTAATTTTACTTATTACTGGCTTCACTAATTTTTATGAAATTTTCAGGATAAGCCGCAGAGATTGGCTGATGACAGTGATAATGCGGAAGGTGAAGAATACTTCTTGACGGATGAAATGCATAAAGCTTCTCTTATCAACGAATCTCAGCAGTCAGTCAGCACCAACGGAGGCGAAGTTTAACTAATCGTGATGACACCAGTTCTAATTGAGCAACTGTCACATTCAGTAGAAAAAAAAATTGAGCTTTGAGGGGATCTTTTTATGCTATGTTAGTTCCGCCTTTTAATGGTCATACTTATATTCTCATATTTCCATGGAATGGTACTTTTAGTGTTTAAAATTGCTTTTCCTTCAAACGATCCAAGAATAATTTCATACTTTTCATGAATTTATTCTTGAAAAAAAAAATGAGTTTTGGAAATTCAGTGAAATACTTCCTGATGACTTTCATTCAAAGCAATATCTGTTTTCAAGCATTTGAACTCAGTTTTATTTTTTGCATCTTTTCACAGTACTTGTAAATTTTAGGTTCTTAATTTTAGCAGAGTGATTTTAGGACTGGTTTTCAAATTCATAATTCCAGTTCGGATAATTGTATTTAAAACTGTACACTTTTCTGAAGGAGATTTTCATCTTATAATTGAAGTGATATGGAGTAATTATGTTTCGCCTTAAGATCAAAGTTTAAGAGGACAAAATAATTTTTTGGAGTTAAGAAGTATGCATTTTTTCATAAACAGAGGAAATGTTTCATTTTACTCGTTTTGTAAGCGCTTATATATTTTGCTATGTGGAAACTGTTCTTTCAATGATAGATTGAAACAATTGCATACGCTTCCAGGAAAATATCTGCTGTAATAAATGCATAATAAAACAATGTGGAAAAATTCTAACCGGATCATTATCCCATTGACCTGCTAATTCTTTTACAGTGAAGAACGTGAAGGAGACAGGTTTTCAAAAAAGAAGTAATTCATTTTTTGATTCTTTACTCTCTCTTTACCAAAATCTCGCATTGACTTCATCTTGTGTTTACTTCTGAATGCAAGAAAAAATCCGATTCTGAAAGCGGAAGTCGTTGCAATTTTTTTGTACAAAACCATGAAAATGTCGATTTATCGTTATGTCATCGCTCCCGCTTTCCTTCACTCTCTCATCACTGGAGGAAGGTGCTTCAGCAGGTTCATACATTTGGCACGTTTGGATCTAACGCGATTGATTATCAAGAAGTGACTCTGCCTTGTTCATCCATTTATTACTTACTGAATTTATTATCATTCGATCCATTTTCCTTCTCATAGATGAGACACATAGAGCTATATACATGTAATGTTATAACTATTGTGCTTAGATATCATTATATATATATACTAAAAAGTAATTGTTTTTTTTTCGTTGTCATCAAAATTGTCATATTTTTGCGAAAATAAATGAGTGCATATAGAGGTTTAGTGGATCAGTTGAGTTTCTTGTTATTTTATGATAGATTTCTATGTGGTCGGGATAGTATCGCCTCGATATTGCTGCGAAGCTGATGCCGATGTTTTGAAGATTGAAGAAATGCTGCTGCATGTTATACTAAGCCCAAGAGAACAATGAGCAATGGTAAAGATGCCCATGTTGCCAAATGCAAAGCCTAAACAGTTTATTGCATGTGTAAATATCACTGGACTCAGAAGATTTCAGAGTTTACAAGATTACCGATGGCTTCTTGTTAATGGAATAAGATGCTCTATTGGGAAATCCTCAGTGTAATTGCTTTATTTCAGTACTAGCTTGCTAAAATTCGACCAGTTCACTGTTTTGGATTGACTGTTGTCCTTGATTGTTATCCTTAACTTGGCAGATTGAGGACTTATCCATATCTGCTAGGTAAATCATTCATCATATTTCAAATTGTCGAACCAGTTTCTTGTTGAATGATAAAACGGGTCAAGGTGTGAAGGGTGGAGCAAGAGTCGAGAGGTAGAGGGAATCTGAGGAAGTATTTCCTGTATGTCAGTACGGCAGAAGTCAGACTATGATTAATGAATCTGTGAGTTAGCAGTGTGAAGTTTGGCTCCTGATTGTCGTAGTTCTATATGAAAGTGAGGAGTGAAAATAATTTTTGTTCTCCCAAAAGGGATGTTAGGATGATTCTAGAACATGGTGATAATTTTAGTGCAGATTTAAAGTAGAAATAGATAAACAAAGTTATGCAGGTGTTTAGAAAGCTGGCTGTTTGAGAAAAGGAGATGTGTTATACATTGTTATGCGAGTCATACTGCTTAGAAAGTAAGCTATTAAGAAGTTATTCTATATTGAATTCCAATTGATCCAGCAAGAGCATCGCAAATTGCAAACAGCTTTAGCAATTCTAAAATTTATAAAAACTAAGTCGAATAAGATGAATATGTGACTCGTCTCTTGCCTCAAATTCAAAGAAGAACAGTATGGTTACGAAGTAATGGACTGTTTTCGAGCAACGAAACTTAATGAAACTTTCGCTTCTCTTCACAAAAGGAAGAACCAACTAGATAGTAATATTAAACTAATATACTGACAACACATGGGTAATATAACATTAGACTGAGGTGCTTCTTAAGGGTTGAGATTATTTGGTTATTGTTCTGTTGTGTTTACATGATATTTTTAGCTACAAAGTTTTATTTAGATTTGTTGTCAATTTTTTTTTCCTGTTTCCTTCTTTCTTTATATAACATAAGACTATGTTACGATATCTCTTACATCACCAGAAATATTATTCCTTGTTCATTTAACGATTCCATCATTTAAACTAGCAATCATCTCTTTACAATCAAATGTTTCGACATTTACTGACTCAACAATGATTTATGATGCAGAAGATAGAAGAAGCAAAATCCTTTAAGTCTTTGATAGATGTAAGTGTTGTGAGTCTGTGCTGTGCTATTGGCTCATGGTTCTTCCTTTTAGGAGACAGAACAGAAGTTACATTAACTACACTGCTGCAAAAACGCCGATTAGTACTTGACTACACTACTTGAGGCATTCACATATTAATCTCGTTCGACTCTTCCCAAATTCTTGTACAACTCAAGCAGATATCTTTTCTCCAATCTCTCTGACCGCGAGCGTCCGATATTTAAAGTCGCGATCATTCCGTTTAATTAGTTGAATTCACTTTAGAATAATTCTTAATGGCATATAGATTGGCAAATGTTTACGTAGTACCTTCTCGGACATCTAATGTAATCACAAATCTTCTTTAAATAGATTACTTTCTGAAATCATTCAAAGTAATGGTTGAGATGGGTAAGCCATTTGAATTGTCTTTTGTAGCTTTCGTGCTCTAATTTATGTTTCGCTTATAGATTTTGTGCCAGTTTTTCCCTTCCTTCCTGAAACAATGGAATCCGCATTTGTCTAATTCCGTTCACGAAGAATTCCCGCTAAATATGGTTAGACATCCATTGCTTTAATATGAGTCTCGAATGTATGATTTCTCCGTACTGCATGCACTGCTCTTTAGTTGCATTTCTTCTGTGCCGATTTGTGCTTATTCTAGTGATTATTGATGTGTTGAATTCTCGACTTATCGTACCAGATATTTCTTTCTACTGGTGAAGATCAAGTTTAACACATAAGGAATTAAATTATGGGGTAGAATAGAAAACATTAGAAAGTTTAATTCTGATGATCCTCTTAGGTTAATTAGACCTTTTGTCTTTAGATGTAGTTTTTTGGATATATTTGGATATTGTCTTTGGGTATAGATATCTGTCGTTAAAACGTAATACTATTGTCATCGCGTTCAGTAACTGATTCGACTGCTTCAGTGACGTGTGATGACTTCTCAATGGCTACTTTTTATATAAGTTTCACCTTTCCAGTTGACGAGGTCGTGTGTGAAAATTTGATTTCGGCTGTGTCGACAATGGATGCTGGGATGTAGATTGCATGCAATCGTTTTAGTCCATTGTCGTGAAAGATTGTCAATAATGACAATGCGAGAGTTCTGCTATACGACTGCTTTCTATCTTTAATTATTATTTATTTCATGAAGGTATGAGCAGTTCAGTATTGTGAGTTAACTAAATAAGAGAAATGGGACTGTCCATCTCAGGTTTCGCTAAAATAGATAAAAAAGTAAGAGTTTCATGTGGATAGTCAAGTCGGGAAGCTAACTCACCGAAATGCTGTAATGTACATATTTCTGTATTCGACATAACTTAATGATTGAATGCTGTGTATAGGCAGAGGAAAATAGTAGTTCAATTTAAGGTCATAACTTAGCATTTCATAGATTCTCTGGGTACGTAGTGCCATTATTTTTTGGTAAAATATAGAATCGTGCGCTGATTCTTCCAATATAATGCGCACGTTAAGAATGAGTTCCAATGATGTGAAAAGCTATGATCGACACTTTTATCATGTGATTGACTTAGTCATACATTTGAATCTGACATGTGCATCACCAGCACGTTCGAAATGTATCATATTTATTGCACATTTCAGGAAAGCGATTGAAGTGGTCGGATGGATTGTTCGGTGAGTTGCTTATGGGTTACTGTCTTGTTATTCTTTTATTTCTTAATATTTGGATTTTAATTTTCATTCCATTGTCTATCTTTTCCCTTCTCTTAATTCCATTTCATCACTTGTCTATATTACAAAAAATGATATATATTGTTTATTTTTAGGAGCTTTGGTGTCTTGCATCGGTGGACGGCGGAGAATGTAAGGAAGCATTCGATACTTACGATGACTTCGAGGAACATTTTTGTCGAAAGCACCTAGACTTGGCATTGTTTGCCTGTGGTGCTAAAGGGTGCACAGCTCAATTTGGAACCGTATTACAAATTTTTCGCCATTTAGCGATTTGCAAGCGTCGGGGCAAAAAGGTTAGTTGGGAAGAGAAGTAAATTTATCTTTATCGTTTCCTTTTCTTATACAAAATGACGATGGAAATGAGATCTTTTTTTTCGATTGAAGGATTTTTCTTAGAGATCTTCCTACTTTTTTGTGTACTACTCAGCAGTCTTTTCCAACGTTTATGTTCAAATTTCATTTCTCTTTTCTCTTCTATCTAATCTCCCAAACTTACAGTCTAAGTTTTCGTCTTGATTAAAAAGTTAGTGCAAACAATAAATTTTCAGATAAAGCTGTTACAATATTCAGATGATGCTTTAGAAAGTTTGATAGCACTAGACCGAGCAAAGTTGCTAGCAGTGCACTGCTCTGTTAAAAGAGGTAACATAGTTTAGAAAACAAATTGCAAATTTATTTTGCCTTTTTTGAATCAAGAAAAAATTGGAGAGGTTTCAAGAAATAATTTTTCTCTACACTTCATTGTTCCTATCATTTCAGCAAAACAAGCAAATCAATTAGCTGAAATTAATGGCAATATCACAGCTGAGCAAGCTGTTGAATCAAATGTTCAGTGCTCATTCGGTGTTTTTTTGTTTCTTTATTTTTTCTTTTACTTTTTCCATAAATGTTTTTGGAATATCTCTTAAATTGTGGATGCAAGAAGACTGTTCCATCCATTATTATATATCTTAAAAATTTCAACTTCAGTATTTTTATTAACTTGAAGTCATACTGAGCCATATTAGTAGACTTTTACGAATCGTAACATCGTTCCTAGTGCATCTTGATGTATTGGGAAGATCATATTTACTTCTTGACAAAAAAAATAGTTTTTGTAGGTGGTTTTCTAAAGTTCGTAAGTTTTTATTTTCACTTTATGTCTAATAAAAATTCCTCAAATGCTTTTACCACTCAGAAAAATGAGATCTAAGGATGCCATAATTCAGGATGTGGAGCTGCAGTGATTCAGAACAGTTCATGAATTAGAAAATCACAAAAGATTTTTGTATCATGTTGTGATTGCTTTCTTTACCTCATTGTTCACTTACAGATGGAATGGACAGTTCATTGGATGATGACCAAATTCACATATCAATAATAGAATCACCCAAACATGTGGAAGGTAATGTGGTGTAAAAACTTTGTTTTATGTTTAAGTTTTATAATTTATAGCTTCATAATTTACCAATTACATATACTATAAATTTTAAATGGTTTGGAAGATTGACATAATTCTTTACTGTAAATTTTTTCCTTAATTTACTATTCTATTAAAATTGTTACCTTTTTATTCGTATTTAATATTTCATTAAATGATTATATGTTAGGATCACTTGTTATAAGCTCATTGAAATTTGCTACAGATGTTGAACTTGGACCAAAGGAACGTGCTGTTACACCAGCAAGACAAGCAGCATGGCGACTAAAAGAACAAATGCTCTTAAAAGAGCAGCAAAAAAAGAATGTAATAAAAACTTTTTTTCTAACATAACTATTGCCTAATCATCATGTAATGAGGGAAAGCTTTTTTTCCGAATGTTGACTAAGAAATTTCAAAAGTATTATTCAAGCCTTCTTAATGATAACCTGCTATCAAGAATGCATTGAGAAGTAACTAATCAAGCCAAGATTGAAGCACCACGGAAGGGGTAAAAGTTTTCGAACTATATTTGCCAATGCGAATTTCAGAAACCACCCGAAAAAGTTGATGGAGACACGCAAAAGAAACAAAAGAAATTGCCAGTGAAAATAACTGACAAAACTCGTATTTCAGCTCTTATTAACGATAATCCAAAAAAAGCGGTAAAAATAAAGAAAGTGAAACTTATGTATTACAGTTTTTCTTGCAAACCGTGTAAATATTATCACCGTAACTCATCGTTTTAAACTTTAAAAAAACTCTGGTGAAATATATTTTTTGCGTTTATACCTTTCGCTTTATTAAGTGTTACTTTTCTCGATTTTAATTGATTTTAGAAACGTACATCAAGCCATCTGCAAACGATGGAATCTGGTGTGTCTCGAAATCCTGTCTTAGGTAATACTTCATCCTTTTTATGAAAAAATTATTGTGTTGGTTGTTTTACAGCTTACAAAAAAAAAGCTTTTGAATTTATTATTTTTCTAAACAAAAAAATAAACTATAGTGGAAGATTTCATTTTTATGACAGATAAGTGTGCGGTGTATAGTAATCATTAGTGTTATCAGAAATGTTAGATTACCGCTTTCTAACCATTTCTAGTCCATTTTTATATCAAAATCCTTAAGAATTTATCATTTATAGGAATAATGAATTCGAATATGTGTTTCGAATCGACAAAGCATATTGTGTATACTGAAAGGAGGCCAAAATTATTACTGGATAAGAACCAAGATTCGGTGATTTTTATTTGATGATTGCCAGAATCAGTAGGACTGCTTCATTATGCAATGTGATGCATTGTAGCAAAAAGCATGAATGAACCCAATAGAAAACTTACAGTTAGAGCTAGTTGTCATGTCATTTCACATGTTGTTCATCGAACAGTTATTATTATATAGTATGTGTCCATTTTCCCTCTTGTTTTCAAGAACTTGCAGTGTCAGATCGTTATCACTGACGTAGTATTTGGAACTTAGCATTACAAATGATTTACATTTCTGTTGAACAGAGACAAAGAATTCACTATTCTCGTTCTCCAAAGTAAATAACTTTAGATATCGACAATTCAGAAACAACCAAGAATATTTGAAAGTAGCCTTCCAGCTGGTCCTAATAATCCTTCAAAAATTCCTGGTATGTAATTGACTTGTCTTCTACTTTCACAGAAACGTTGTTAATAAACTCTATAGTCAGAGGTAAAGAAAAACCACTTTTACTAGAAATTGAATTCTTTATTCTTTTTTTTCTTTATGCATGTACAACGTATTGAACAGATTTAGCTTTATATTATGTCCACATCTCTTATATTCTTTCGAATGTTTTACAGGTTTATCACGTCTACAGCCATCATTTGATGTTAACAGTAGTCGACCTCCCGACTATTCAGACTTCTTAAGAAATCCCGTGATAAATCCAACGCTTCATGAAATATCTCTTCCTTTGCCTCCTATTCTAGCTCTAGAGAGTTCACCTGTTCAACCATCGGATGGTCGTCAAAGTAATGTTGGAAATAATCATACATTCACGAAGACCGCTTTAGTAACACAACCTAATTCTGAGATCAACGTACAGCAGAAACTTGGTTACAGGAAATCACCTGGGATTCTGCGAACGGCAAGAATAAAGTATATTTGGGGATGTGAATAACAACTGCGCTGAAAAATAGAAAAGTTAAAGAGCAAGGAAACATTTTTGTATAACAGTATTTCTTTGCTCTTTTTACTTTTATGTTCTACCACTAAATTTTTGTTAATTTAGAGGAAGTTCCTAAATTCTGTGGAGAAGGAAGTTAGGAAAGTAAGAGTTCTTTTTGCTTGTATTTAAACAAAAAATTTTTGTCTACTTTTAGAAATTTGTTGAGAAAAAGCACGGACTTCAAAATGAAGTAGAAACTGTAGAATATACCGGTCAGATGGATCTTAATGTCTTAAGCCTGTAAGCATTTACCGTTCCTTATTTTTGAAAAAAGAAAATTGTTTAGAACAGCAGTAGGATATATCATTTTACAGATTTTCTAAAAGACTGAAAGAATGCAAGGTGCTCGACCATTTGGAGATGAGCACGACGCAGACAAAAGAACTGCAGCAAGCCGCAGGTGGTGCTTTATTAACAAGTTAATCGTGCCTTTCTCTTATTAACATCATAAATGAACGAATGCTTTATCTGTTATGTCTAGATAGCTATCAGTTAAAACTAAGAATGGCTGAAAGATATATGCGATGAATGGATTAAGATTCAAATATGTTTGAATCTGGTTATATATTTTCATCCGTTCGTCAGTTCCGTTCTACGTAACATATATCTATATTAACTGTTAACTGTAGCAAATCATTAATATATTAACCATAGAATTGCCTTAACTGAATTAACTACAGGAAAGCATTCAGAACGAAGTGAAATGAAATCCAGTGTTAGATTGGAAGGAGAGGAAATCACAGTGGAGCTAACAAAGTTCAAAAATAATGCAAATCTCATCAGTTTGTCTTCTGATAAGGATTGCGGTGGAAAGGAAGATGAAAAGTATAGTTATGTTTTTTGATAAGAAAAATTTGTTGGAACGGGATTTTATTTTAACCGCAGACAACTGTAATGTTTCCATATATTTCTTAATATTAAAATTAACGACTAAATTGATTGCAATCGATGATTTAAACCTTTGGGTATTTCTGTAGAAGAATTTGGCAGCGAAGCTATTAGTGAAAAATTCGGAATAATAAATTAGTTACCTGAATACACTAAAAATTCAAAGAGTTCAATAAACACTTGCAATATTCACGAAATCCGATGTTTATTTCTCATTTCTGATAAGTCAAAACTATGCCATCTTTCGAACTTTACAGCAAATTAAATTTTTGTTGTTTTTGTTTTTAACTTTGATATTTAGTCCATTTTTCTAACAAGTATCAGTTTCACTTAGGTATGGTGAAACTATTCCGGTTCTTCTAAATCTTTTCTCGAATAACGGAACTGCGGAACCTGTAATGTTCGACCCGCGAATAATGCCGAAATCACATATTTCAGTAAGAAGTATACTAATGCTTTTCCAAATTTGAAAATTTAATAAAATTTAATCATGTCGACGATTTAAGAAATTGCTGTGACTTACTGTATCAGTGCGATGAACGTACTAGCACTGTTGTAGGGTTCATTTTTTTTCTCGACACATTCTGTTAATGTCCAACACAGGATAAATCAAGAAATGACCGACGAAATAGCGAAGGCAAAGTTGTTCAGGAAAAAAAAATGGAAATCTACAGTGGCTGTAATAATTGCTATGATTCATCGGGAAGTGAAAAAAAACGGTGATACTTGTTCTATAGACCATATATCTGAAAATTATTTTTGATCTGTCGAGGACTTTTATCACCATTTTTTAATTCACTGTAAATGCCAGTGACTGTGAGGAATTAAGTTCACTTTCCTGTAACTGAACAAAGAAAGAACAGGCCTTTTTGGAACACATTAATGAACATTTATAGTACCAACAATTCATCTAGAACTATCATAGGCTACAGTGAGCACCTATTTAAAAAAATTGATTAGCATTCAAAGCATTTACCATTCAAAAAATTTGAAACAATTGTAAAAATAAGAAAAATATTAAAAGCGTAGCTGTGTTGTATTTGATTCCACTTCATTTTGTTACATAGGACCCAGTATATCAACTTCAGAAAGCATCATCGATGCAGGCAGGCGATCACGAAAATCTTGTATATCACAATCGGTTATATCATTGTGAGAAATTTTTTCTTCTGCAATGTAAATTTTATTTCATTGAAATCATATGGCATTTTTTAATGTTTGTTTGTAAAGGCTACATTCCTAAGCAACACTTAAAGATTGTAGAAATAAGTGAAAACAAATATCTTACACAACTGAAAACATTTGAGATTTGTATCTAATTGTCGAACTTCTCAGTTTATTATTTCCATGAATTTTTGAAATGTATATTCTGCAGACATAAACTGCATATCTTTTAAGATCAAGAAATTGCAATGGAAGTGCTTATTGATTATAAAATGAAGGAGTCAACGGAATGTAAGCATTAAAAAGGGTTGGAAGAGGTAGTTCATTTAATCGATGTTATAGATAGTCTCATTTCTTTGGTTGGTTTGAAATTGTGAGAAATGAGTCAAACTACTGTGTGAGCCATATGAGATGATATGCTTTTCCCTCCTGTATATTACTTTACCATATTCTTTTTTGATCACTTGTTTGTTTCTTGTTGTTGAAGCAGTAGCACCTTAAAAGTTTTAAATTTGCTGATTGATTATCTGACGCTGCATGGTATCAGAAACAAGAAATCGATAATTTTCCTAAAATTTTCCGTGAGAAAGGTGTGACATAGTTACGGTTAAGAGCCGCGCCACTAACGTTTCTCGTCATTAATTAACCCTTAATGTTTTGAATCAATTTCTACCGACAATGCAGTGTTATCCCTAATTCAAATCTTATTTTTCTGAGCTTTTTGCAAAAACTGTCAAGTGATGTTTTCGCTTTAACAAATTGTTAGAATAATTTCGAAGTGGCATTTGCCACTCAAGAAAGTCAATCTGGTCACATCGAATCATTCTGGAGGACTTGGAATGTTGATTTAGATCTTAAAAAAAGGAGAAAGGTTTTTGCAATTGCAAGTTGTTTGGTGTGCATACGAATAACTATAATTGTTTTCCTTTTTACTTCATATGAATAAAGTTGTTCATTTTTATTATAAAATGAGGTGAGGGACTGGTTATGATGTACTTCGACTCATAAACCGAGCAATTGAGATGGGTGGGGTCTATTTCCATTTTGAAATAGATGAAGCACTGGGAATTTCGTTTCATGGCTTCGTTAATGGCAATTTGAATTACTTATGACCACAAACTATATTTAAGAGGAATGTGGGAAGAATGTAGTAGCAACTGGGTTAAGCAGTGGCTTTGGCTTATTGAAACCCACCTCACTTTACTCACATTTGCTTTCCAAACTCTCGCAAATCACGTAGGATGGTTCACATTTCGTTGTCATCTCTTGATGTGCATGTGTATGTAGCTGTCATCTGTGCTTCTGTGTATTCCTCATACATCAGCAAACCAGCTGTACCTGTCGGCTATAGATGTGTTTATGTCTGATAAGTTGGTCAGTGCATCATCAGCACTTTTTCTTCCTAATTTATGATTCGGATGCCTAAATTTTAAATAATTCAAATAAAGTAGATTAAGGATTACTGAAAAATACTTCTTGACTTCTTTTTACCAGTAATAAGTTACACTTACGTTCACTTGCTGAATTAATCGCCAAGTCGACTGTTGGTTTATGAATTTATCCAATCACTGCTTACTACATCCATTAAAAGTAGTGAAGTACATGGAAGTTAACTGAGCCTACCTATAAAATGAGAGAAAGGTGTTGATGAGATTAGTTTGCAATGCAGGTGAGATCCCAAGTCAATATATTCCTGCAAATGATGAGCTATCCATTTGGACTTCAATCTCTATGCTGATGTCGAAAATTTTGTTTTTCTTGGATTCTATCACATCTTTATGTCTGTCATCCCATTATTTCAAGAGACTTCTTTGTAATTTAGTTGTTTACTTCAATTAGTTATAATTCTTGTAACTGATATATTGAATAAACAATAATAATAATAAATTGTCTAAATGCTCGTTATGCCTTTTTAGACTTCGTTGATCAGTTAATTGTCCATTAAAGTACTTGACGAATACCATGTTGAAAAGCTTGGGATATATAATCTCAGAGTCTATTAGATCTCAAGTATGAATCAATATGCATCAAGCTTAAATTACAGAACAAATATATAGGTAGGTAGATGGTGACCGTAGGACAGGTAACATTGAAACGCCCATAACGCGACTCTTTTTTTGAGCGCATCATGTACTTGTGTAAAAAGTAGGTAAGACAAACTTGAGTGAACCCATGCAATATTGAACCCATGCAATATTTCGTATGGCTCTTTAGCTGACTTGTACTTTAAGCCTCAATTTTTTTATCTTTTTTCCCTTCCTTAAAATTTGACAATGAGCTCTGCTTTATTTCTTTTCTTTCGATTCATGTTAAGAGTCTAAGTCCAGATTTACATGGCCTTTGTCAGGTTGTTTTTGCGGAATCGATAACGTATATATCGGCCAATACCAGATAATCAGGATCACTGAAATCCAAGTGAAGCGATGAACGAACAGACTGTGGTACTACAAAAATACTGCTTCACATATCCTCACACGGTGATCGAAAAAATTCTACAATCTTCCAAACATCTATAGAAAGCTTTACAAATATACTTCTCATATACACGTATGCGCACACAACACATACAGAGTGGCCCAACAATCCTATCAGTCGAGAGTAACTCTCTTTACTTTATTTCTGACTAACAGACAAGAACTAACTCTCTGCAAAACAGATGCCGTATTGCTTGGATTCAATCGAATCAATTGCAAGTATTTGCCTTCACTCATACAAACACACATGCACACATACATACACTTACATACATACATACATGCATTAGGCATTAGCATTGTCAAATGCTGAAAAGGTAATTTTAATTGCTCTAAGGATGAGAGACTTCGAGCTAAGATTGCATTGCATTTTGTTAGTTTGTCATTATGGGTAGACTTCCCAAAATAACGCTTGTCTTGAATTACTTCCTTATCATTTCTGGGCCTCTTCATTATGATTATCAGTGTTATTGATTTTCATGAAGACTGAAAGGGGACACATTAACATTTGAAGAAAAAAATTTTTCCTGGCTGAGAAAGGAACAAGATGTCCTGAAGAGAAAGGTAAGAGGGAGACTTTCATCTCTCTCTCCGTCTCATATTATTGTCTTTTATTCTCACTCATTTAATCATGCGCACTTGATACCTTCAAGGTACTTATTTGCAAGGGCGGGAATGCATCGTTGCTTTTTCTAAATAAAAGACTTTACATACTAACATTTCGTCGACAGCATCACTTTCTCCAAAAGTCTAAATTTTTGGCCATCATATCACTTTATTCAATTTATATTTATCGATTTCTTGGAATTTTAAATTCTAATACATAGAGAAAGTGTTATACTTTAACTATTATCCGTTGCGAACTATTGATTTGTTGTTTTTTTGAAGAGTTGAATTTTAAAAACTAGATGAGTCGTTTTTGAAGATTAAAGCTATTGCGAAATTTCGGAAATTTCTCCAAGAATATATTCTTGAATTGTGTTTCTTAATGCTTTTCTTCGAAGAGTATCATAAAAGCAAAAGAAAAGTCGTAGAAAATTATGAGACATCTTTTGCTTTTTAATGGTGACACGATAACTATTAATGTTACGAAGTTTTTCTCCCAACAAATTGTTGAAATATATGAAATTTCATATGCAAATAAATGTTTCTAACACAATGGAATGAAAAAACATGAGAAAAATTGGTAGAATTCTGGAAATAATGCAAAAAAAACTTAGTGATTTCATTACTACTCTTGGCCTTGAACTGTCCTCTTGTTGAGAATTGAACGTCATTTTTCGTCATTTGGCATTTCATAATAGTGCATTAATCTAAGGAACAGTTACAAAAAAGCTATTTTGAAAGTTAGATACCACCAATAGGCCAATTGGTTGTCCGATTGCATGTAAAGGATCTGATCTTTTTGGCTAATCTAACCACAATCCTTTCATTTTGCTGTTCAGTTTGTATTGAATTTATCGAGGAGCCTATGCAAAAGTGAAGCCCAACGTAAAGTTGAAGAGTTTTTATGAAATGAGACACACACAGAGTGCTAGGAAACAGGAGCAAGGCGAATAGCATTATTTATTCAGCATAGAAAATTATTCTCGATACACTTCTTTCTTGAATTTGTTATTCATTTTTGGAATGCACGGGGAAATGTGGCATTCCTCACACTGCTTAAAAGAAGGGAATAGTAGCGCCATCGATTTTAGACATAAGCTTAAGATTCCTATAATTGAGTATTTTAATTATTTAATATTATATCTTCTCTAATCTACACCATTTTTGGCAGCTACTTCATTTCCAGTTAATAATTTGAATTTGGATTAATTCTGTTTTACTTCAAGTATTTGTAACATCAATTTCGACGTATAATTTCTCGACCTTTTTTGTGATCAAATTTAGCAAACTCGAGGAGGAAACATAATATAAATAACTATTAGAATATTGTAAAAAGCAATGTTCTTAGACATTTTGAAGGATAAATGAAAGAAAGTGGGTGTTGAATAGATCCAGGATTTCTATTATTTTCTTCCCGTTTCTTTTCAGGTTCTGCATGATTATTTGTTTGGATGGTAATCAGTTTGTCAAGATTGGCAAGTTCTGTACGCTTTTGTAAATAAATTTTTTCCTCTGTCCAGAATATGAGTGAAGAAGTTACTAGAAATCTTCAGAACTTTTGGAAGAAAATTCTAAGCAATTTTATTGAGTAGTATTTTTTATATTGATATTGTATGTTATATTACTTCTCTATTGAACATTTCCTCAGTTTTATCCAAAACTTCAAACCATTTTTCTTGATCGCAGATATTAATGATTTGTTGACAACATACTAATAAGCAGCAATAGAAATAAATATCATGACTGCTTGGAATAATTATGATTAGTGGCTATATAATTTTGTTAGATCTTCCAGTATTTCCTGATATTAGATGTATTGAACCTAATCTATTCTTGTTATTTTGAGACTATTTTAATCAGTTTTATTTTATTTATTTTTTTTTTTTAGTGTAATATTTGCATCATTTGAAAGCTTCAAAAAAAAAAAAAAAAAGAATGCAGGAAAGGTTTCTGGTTTGGGAAGAAATTTTTGGATTTAAATCGATGGTTTCCAGTTTTCTAGTACATCTATCCAAATTTTAACATGCTTGTAGAGGGCTGATATTAAAATTCATGTGTACTTAATCACGATGCATTTTTCGAGTCGAAATTCTAAATTAATTTCTGTGAAGAATGACATGATTGAATCTGAATTCAAACTTCTCGTGGTTTTCCCTTCCATCCTTTCTGGCTTTTTGTCTATCGTCAATTGTTGAGTGTATATATGTTTGTTTGTAAATCTGTGTCATTGGTAATTTGTTTTCATTAGAAATTCGATATAATAATGTTGCACTGCTAGGAATTCGTGAAATTTTCAGAATTTTGAGAAATAAGTTGATATTTATACTCAAATACCAAACAGAGTTAAAAAACGACAACGGTTACATCAGAGAAACAACAACAGCCCCAGCAACTGATTCCCTCAAATAATTGCACGACAGTTGCCGGTGGATCTTTGGATGTCACTACAGCTACTGTCACGTCATCCATGACACCCGTCGATCCACAACCATTTTTCTCCTTGTCACTACCACCAAAAGAGAAATTCAAATTGGCCATTGTAAGCACATTTTCTGTATCCTATTGTATTTGCTAAAATTGCGCAGGCACCTCGTGAGCTTTTAATTTTTAATCATAGATCACAAAATAATTTCAATAATATCCCTCATTTATGAAGAAAAATTGGAAAAAAAAAACTCATTATTTTTCAGGATAATGCTGGTGACAGTCTTTCGAAACGTCAATCCCGTCGTACAGTGACGGTGTTGGATGGTAATTATCGAGTAAACTCTGCAGAAAATGAACGTTATCAACTATCCAGACAAGATGCTTCCGTTAGCCATGCTCGACGAAGTCCTTTGGGAAGGTCGTTACTCTCTTCTAAGCCTTTAATATTCCACTAGCAGTTACCATAGTAGTTCGTTAACTACATTTGTAAATTGGGATTTTGTTTGCAAATTTTGCCCTTGCTGTTATGTAACAGATGTGGAAAGCACTGGCCTTCAAAAATATCTTTACTAGGCCTTCTAGATATTCTTCCTAACAGTTTTCAGTGCTCATGTTACGAGTCTGCACTCTCTAGTCATTATTAATGGTGACTTTTAGTTAAACTTAATATATATATATATTTGTCTAACCATTAAATTTGACACTCTGCTTTCCCTAAAGTTGGTGAATAACAAGTCGTTTTGGTTGTGCCTGTTAAATTGACTTTTTTTTGTATTTTTATGCCAGGTCAATTTTTATAAACATTTACTGGAACATAAGAGCGATTAATGTTCAGATTTTAGATTTTGTTTTACATTTTCGAAATCAAAACAGTCACAACAGTTTATCGTTTCTTCGACTAAACTGTTTTGGATGAGAAATGATTGTTTTTCGCTTTGATTAGATTCGCTTTAAGTCTTTTTTTTCGCTTTTCCATTAATGTAAGCATATCACGATTGGCCTGGAGCATACGACGACGACGTCGACGACGTCGATCTTCTTCTTCGTCCGTAATACTATGTGTTTCGTTCTGTACATCTGCAAGCACTTCTCTGAATGCTTCCTCTAATACTCCGAGCACTTTCTTCGGTTTAATGTTCTGCAGATACATTGGATTTGTTACGTTGAATGTTGCTGTATGCTTACTGAACAACGGCTCAGTGGGCAATACCATTGCTGTAGACCAGGTGCAGCAACAAAATAACATAAAGTAAAGCATCTTCAAGGTAGCTTGAACACAGCTGGACGAATTTGAGGCACCACCCATTTCTGATGAAGATGATAAACCGCACTGATTTATCTCCAACATTAATAATCATTTTATACTTTTAGTTTATCTGCCTCTAATTTCAGTTGCAAAGGAACTCACAAATTTCATGACTGTCAAGTCTTCTCTTCTCATGTTGAATAAGTCGTGTTGAAATTAATAACACTTGCAATGAGAATACACGTACAGATAGCATTAAGGATTGAATTATGACTAGTTATTTGTGGAGGAATACTTTCAGTGTTGTTTGAACATTGAGGAAATGTTTTGTGAAACACCGATGGAAGGCGAATGTATCGATTTATTTGCCTAGTCTAATGATGACGTCTGTTATTTTATTGCTTGTTTGCTGCGTGAACTTACTTGTTTGCTAAATTCTTCCTTAACTTTCTTCTCTGTTTTTTTTTTTTTTTTTTTTTTTGCAATTTTTTTGGTAAAATGTCATCTACGATTCGTTATTGATTGTCGACATTTCATTAAGCAACTTAGGGATTCATTTCTCTTCCATTCTAGCATTGCTTTTCCATCCTTCAATAATAGTTTATATTTTACACTTATTCTTTCCACGTCCTTTTTCACTTCTTTTCTCGTTACATTATGTTCGTTTCCATCGTAATAGAATTTAAATAAGTTATATTAGGATCCAGGTCGACCTACCATGCTACATTTGGTATCACAGTACTAGAATTGAAACGCAATATATAGGTGTACTCTGAATTGTAAAATAATTTATTTTGAATGGAATGATTTTTGACCAGAATATTTCTTTAGAATGATTTTAACCAATATACTGTCATTTTCCAGTTGACAAGCTTACCGAATCACAAAATTTGTCAAAAAATCCTTCCCTTAATGAATAGCTTTGAAATGCTCCTACACAGCTGAACTTATCATGAATGCACTTCTTAAAATTAATGAAAATTCGAAATAATTTAAGTCGGAAATTATTCAGAAGAGAGACAGCTGTTGATGTTTCTTAATTATAGGAATTTTAAATGGATGTGGTTATATGCTTGATGCCGCTCAAAGACGGTTGTGAACCGAACAATTATTCTAAGCTTGCCTGGTTTGGATGTACTTCATTTAAGAGATTTCTTTTATCTGTCAATGACTTATTTCATAACCATATTTTTTTGTTCTTCAAGATGGAATGAATCGCTGTCTATCAGCGTTATCCAGCTGTGGTGATGTCCCCACTTGCATTGCAAGAGATCTATATTTCCACATCTAAATATGAAAGGAACAGAGTGTAGTTTTTTTCTGAAAGTGAAAGCCAGAATTTATGCAACAGCTGTTCATACACACAGTTATTCTTGATATTTTTAAAATCAATTTTCTCCTCTCTTTTCTTTCAATCATTCATTATTTTTTATTCACTTCATTCGTTCATCTTTTCTTTCATTCACTCCAAACTATGCTGATCGGAGTATTTTGATGGTAAAATATTTGATCTATGACCACATTTTCCTTTTTATATGGCATATTCCACAATATGAATTTCTCTTCAGCGTGCTAAGTTGATGATATTTCGCACATCACTTTGTTATTTATGAATTGGCCATCCATTTATAAAGACAGATAGAAGCTCATTTTGCCATTAAGAAAATGTTGTAACTAATTGTGAATCTATTAGTTGCGATCTACGGTCTTCAGTCTCCCGATGCTTGCCAACAATGGAAAAATTGAAAGAAAGGACCGGTGTTACTGCAGTTTTCATTTTTCATTGCACTACTTCCAAATCATCATCGTTACGGCCAGTGACATCATCATTTATAATCATCCAGTTTCATCTGTCGTCGGAGAGCTCTGTTTTTTCTTTTTTCATTTTTAACGGTCCTTTCTATTTTCCCCGTCTCGCAAATGTTTTCTTGTTTATTTCAAGTTCGTCTTACTGCTTCTAATAGCTCTGTGATATTAACTCTTCGGTCTTATTACTATAACAATTCAAAGAAAGTAATGCTGTACGATATCTTTGCTGGAATAAATCTTCCTTTCCCAGAAAAAATCTTCTCTTTTCTTTCCCAGGTATGATCCAAATTATAGAGAATTATTTACAAATAGAAAAAAAGAACGATATATCACATCTTGAGGCTTTTGCCTTTGTTAGTAATGCTAAGTTGTATGGGTATACATTCAGGATCAAATGAACTTGGGAACTTTCGCTTTTTCAAATTTAGTTCAGTCTTTAAATCTGCTTGTGAATTTTGATTACTTTTTATCTTTCTGACAAACATCATTTTTTTTTTTATATTTGTTATTCTTATATTTCGTTCTATCTTTTCTTTGCATTGTCAGCGATCACATGAATTTAACCATCCACTTATTCAACAAAATTCGTGATGAAGATCTTGATTACTTAAAATTACTTGATTACACACGTTATCAAGCATTATTGATACTACAAGAAACCTGCCTCTATTTTATTCTTATTTGGACTTTCCCAGCAGCGAGTGGAAATAAGAAAAATTAAGAGTGATCGAATGTATGATTTAGTTGGAATGCATTATTGTTCGGATGGTTATTTCTCATCTGCATCTGAAATAATGCCATCTTCCGATGATGAAAAGCGGCATCAACAAACGATAGCAGATCGCTTTCATAGCTTGAATGAACTGGAAAAAGAAACAAGCATCGAAGTACTGTAAGAATTTTGTTTATCTGAAAGTTAAACAACACCTCTATTCCCTTTATTGAATCTGAAGAATTAATTTATATAAGAGATCCTTCTGTCGACTATATTTTATCGAATTAATAACTGTTCAGGGCAGGAATAGTAATTATTAATATGTTCATGATTGAATAGTAATTATTAATGTATTCATGATTGCATAGTAATTATTAATATTCATGATAGTAAACACTGATAGAATTAGAGGTGTTACGGTATTGTGTCCTCGATTACACGAACTGCTAGAAGAATTGGTGACTGACCTTCAATAAAATACAGTAATTGTGATGTTCCAGAAGTTAAGAGTAATGGAATATATAGTTTAGCTGGAACACATTATTGTTCGGATAATCGTTTCCACAAATCTTTACGTGATGGGAAGTATCAGTAAAAGCTTCATTGCTTATAAGCTAATTTTTAAAGGTAGTTTTAAATTCTTTCTCGATTCTAGGGACATCGACAACAACTGCATGTTCACCTTTCTTCGAGGAAAAGATTTTTATGAAAAATATCTCATCTTTTCTAAAACACGATTGCAATAGGTTGCGAAATAAAATAAAAGTTTGCTATAAATAACCAAAAATTTATTCTTTTGAACTATGAATTTGTTGTTAAAGTCCTGAAAATTTAAAATTGTTAAGTTAGCATTGTTTAGACCAATATTTAAAAATTCATTCTTCAATTCTTTTTCTGTTCTTAATCAGAATTGAGTGGGTAGTGGAATTTTCTAGAAGCGTAGCTTTTAAGTGAGTATTAAGTGAGCACACTTCTTACGTATGGAAAGACATTTCGTACCTTATATTTCGTTCTTCCGAGATACTTGTTTTTGCGATCAATTAAATCGTGGTATTAGGCACTCTCAATCTGTACTTAATCTGAATGAATCTTAAATATCATTAAGGATAGGTTCCAGCTGAGACACTTCTCATGCCTATTCATTTACTGGATTTTTGTTGACATTCATTTGTAAATGATCGACCGAAATATGTACTTGACAGCTATTAAAGCGACTCATAACTCATACAGTGTCCTTTATTTGCAGTGATCGCTTCATCTGCATATGATGTCTAACAAATTTACTCATTTTAAGTAATACGCATTCAAGAAAAGGTATGGAAAAGTGCCAGTAACAACTTTGAAAGGGATGGAATTGCAAAAGAAAGGCATGAGAGCATCGCTTCAGTTTTATTCTTATTAGACAGAAAAGGAAATAAAGTTCTTAGAGCGAGAGAAGAACTTCGCATTTGTACTTTTCTTTATTTTTGGATTCGACTTTCATTCACACATAAACTTGTTTTTTATCGATGAGTCAATCTCCTGAGTTTCTGCAACTAAATAAATTCAAAATATTCTTTCCTTTCTGGATTACTAATGGTATTATATTATATAGTGGAAATCTTTCATGCAGGTAAACTCGCTGAAGGTAGTCTATCACATGACTGTTTCGTTTAATTAGATGAAAGCTGCATGTCCATGGTTCCAATTTTATCGTCTTAGTTACGACTCAGGAAGGGAAGAGAAAGTTACGACTTTTTGATTTCATTGAAGTTTACTGAGATGGTAGATTTGTTAATGGAATTCTAGGGATCTTGTCCTGACATTTTCTTATGAGAACGGACAGCTTTGGTCAATACAATATATGGAGAGCATTAGGAAAGAATTGAAATTTTTAAATGAGTGGTACGATTCAAAAATAAATTCTCCATGCATTGCATAAAGAAAAATTAATTAATTAACCAGGTACGTAAGATTTTATGGAATTTGTAGGAAATTTCTTCTTGTCTTTACCGAGGAATGTTAGACAGATTTGACATCATTAAGCTGGCTAATTTACGATATGATGGGAATTCGTTGACAAAATAGAAGAAAGAGAATGAAGTTGCGTTTTTATGGAGTCGTTTTCTTCTTTCTTCCTTCTTTATCTTAAAATTAGTTCCAAACAGCTCGACTTCCAATTTTTTCCAGACTTAAAAACTGAATTACTTAAAATTACTTACAAGCTTATTAAAATAATTTGACTTCGAATTTAATGTTTAAGAATTTAGATTACAGATGTATTTTAAAGCGAAATAATGAACTTTGTCTACATGCTAGCAGGATACTCCACAAACAAGACAAGTAAAAGCAGCAGTAGCACATGAATTACTTTGGGATATTTTCAAAGCAATAGCAATAACCATTTCAAATCTCCTAATAAGATTAGTTTACACGTTATTCTATTACCTTGCTCGTTGGATCGATTGGGTGCGCTGTTAAAGTTAAAGTATAAAGCTGCGAAGATAGTTGAGTAAGGATATTAACTTTCATAGCATCTGTTTGAAAGATGCTCTAAAATAATGGAATCTTGCAATCTATATGAATGTAGAGCGTTCATTTTGTGACGTTTTCTCTCAAAATCACTAGATAACCTCCTTAATTGTTGGATTGAATTTTAAATTTCATTTAATTAATTGGGGATCATCATATCTTGCTTTCTTTTTTCTTTGTATCATACTTTATCAAGGATACTAAAGTTACGTAGGTGTCCAATGCTCATGATAACTGTGACTGTTTAACAAAGCATGATCGAGTGTCATCTCTCGTCTACCTCTTTTGGCTACGATTGTCTGCTTTTTTCTCCTTTCTATAGGATTGATTTCCCTCTGAGATTTTTCATCATTTTTATAACTGATTGATTCAACTTTCTAATCCTAACTTCATTGAAAAAGTTAAGAAGTTTTATTGTTATAAAAGTCTCATTATTTTAAAAGTAGTGACAGTTAACGATGACCTTTTTTAGAGAGGTTTTTCATGTAATTTTCTAAGAGAAATCTTGCAAATAATATGAAGCAGTGACAATTAACGATTATAAAAAGTTTTGGTTGTGTGCTAATTGAAATGATCTTTGGAAATTGTAGCCCGGTTAGATGGACGACACATCTTCATAGCAGTGAAAATTATTAATAATTAATGGAAATAATGATCGATTGATTTCAGTAAGTTGCACAAAAAGCATTTGATATGGAAAGAACTGAAAACCGATCAAAATTATAATGAAATTAATAACAGTCTTTGTTATTAATTTCGTTATTGCAAAATTTTCAATAGTTTACATGTTGTTAACCAGAAACCATCTTGTTGACAATTATCTTTATGATGTCAATATCATTAAAAACTTTCCTACAATATCATTAAATTCTCCTTGCGGTGAAATTATCTTATTTCTGACAATTGTCGCTGGAGTACTGTACTGCGACGGTTGATTTGAGGAACTAGGAAAATCTGTTTTCGAAGAATTAGAAAGAAACTTAGAAGATTGGACTATACAAACTCTCTAAACTTGGACTTTTTTGCACTTATGGTTTGGTTGATCCGTAAGTTGTGATATGCTTTATTCATCACTGCTATTTCTTTGAAAAAATCAAGAAGCATGGGTATGTTTGTATTTTAAACAGAGCAAGAAGAAAGGGATTGAGAGGAACGGGACGATTTATTGACAACTTTTATGATTTTTAATTCTTGATTATATTTGCTTACTTCGTCTACTGTCCAATCCCGCATGGCATCAATGTGTATAGAGATGCAAAATAAAGCCTTCAGAATATAGCAATCCTCATTAAATTCTGTTTCATTCAACTAAGGGAGGGACAAAGGTCAGTTTTACGGATTTCCGATATTGTTAACTGAAAAATAGTTATAGGACAGACGATTTGTGGTTCGAGTTGGACGATGATGATTTGGATTGTCGCTTGAGCCCGAGTTCATCATCGTTATATGAATCGACTCGTCTTTATCAGTCGATGGATTCTGGCGCTGCCATTCGTCCACGTCGTCCACCAATTGCTCTGCCGCCACCTCCGCCACGTTCTGCGCCACCTCTGAGTGATAACAGTCAGCAGCACATCATCGATGAGGTTTCTGCCACATCCCTTGCACTCTCAGAATCAAATCCAGTACGCATTAATGATATTGCGACCACAACGGCTACATGCAGTAATGCTTTGACAAGACAAGTCAGTACTGTGGAAGATCCGTGTTTCCTAGCCCACGTGAAGTCAGATCACACCACGGTATCATCATTATTTAAACTAGCTATGATTTAGCATATTAGCAATTTATCACTTATCCATTCGCTTTCAATTTTTAATTTTTATCTTTAACAAAATTATAGCTTGATATAATGGTTTGTTTACGTAGAAATTTTTTATTGACATATAAGAGTGGTCAATTACTAATCTATTTTGTTAACAAAATAAATTTGAGAAGAAAAACGCTATGACTGTTCTGTCAAAATTCGAAATTCATGGTGGTCTTACTAAAGTTTTTTTACTTAGATCTTAATTTATTCTGAAGTTTTTAAAAAACGATTTTGAACATAAGAGTTAATAAACTGGCGTAAGAACGCTTTTTATGTAACGGAGAAGCCTTTCGTTGCATGTTTAATGAATAAAAAAATTTTGCTGTGGGCGTTCCGAACGACTGAATTTGGCTAGCGCTAGTAGAGTTTTTACGCAAGATGAAGTTGTAGAAATGAAATAGATATAAGCTTGATGTTGGTAGTGAGCGTATAACAATAAAGAAAATTATTCCTTTTTGTAGGAGTAGATGGCAGAAACAGAGTTAACATACTATTTCTCGATATCTTTGAGCAGATCCAAATTTTATCTAAATGTTCTTTTAAAAGTGGTAATCTACTGTCTTTGAGCAATCTCTTCCAAATCAAGTATTGAGCATCGAAAAATTTAAATTAGTTAGTCAAAACAATCTTTTTTTCTTTCCGATTTTGAAATAAATAATTCCTTCACAGTCTGCCTGATAATTCTTCAAGTGAGTGACCCGTTTTTTTCTTTTTCGATCCATATTTCCGTTTGAAATTCCCATTATCTATTTTTTTTACAATTTATCTTTGATAAAATATTTTTAATCTGATACTGTTATTTGCACTCCAGCTAATATTTCAGGCCATTTCCTATAGATTATTATGTGTAAGTGCCACCAAATAGATAACACCAATTTAAGGGACTTAATTTAGATCTATAGTTGAGAGAATAAATTAATACTTTCCTTTATTTTATATGATCTTTCATCTTACGTCGATTGATATGTGTAATATCTGCGTATCATGAAATTTTAATCATAATTTCATGAAGTCAGAACTTGATCCTTTGCCTCTAAACCTTTCATGTTCTCAGTTTCTTTTCCACTTAATACATCTCATTTTGGATACTTAGCTTGTATGTATTCAATTGGAGTTGTTTTCAGTTTAATTTCTGCCATATTTATTTACCACATAACCTATTACTACTCTTATTTGTAAATTGAGATTTAAGAAATTGTGATAGCTGAAAAACGAATAATTTGGAGAACGTTGTTTCAGGCAAGCGCAGAAATACGATTGCAGCAATCCTTGTCGACACCGTGTCCGGACAGCAGTGGTGATGTTGCTAATAAAGATGATCAGTCATCGACATCCCGGAAGGTCTCGTTGATTTTTTCAAGATTATTTTTAGCTTAACGTTTTCCCTTTAGCATTATTGTTGTCCGTTTTATACTGCTTATACATTTCTTTTTTTTTTTTTTTTTTAAATCTCCTGATATAATTTCTGATAAAATTTCACTTTTTTCTTCGTAGCTCTGTTGTAATAATGCAAATATCCTCAAAAATCTGAAAGAGAGGACCCGATTTGTAGTCTTTCCTGCTATACGAGGCGCATATGATTGCAGTAGAACTTTATAGCGTAAGAGGGCGTTTGAAATAGGGTATCATCCAAAAAATGACAACAGTTTTGCTTTTATACTGCCGCCGAGGTTCTTAATGAAGTTTCTGGATTGAACGAAGAGAAAATTTGTAGGATCTGTCTCTTCATTCATTTTTTGTTTCCATTTTTTATTATAACAGTCATGAGGCAGTGTAGAGATTACAAAGAATGTTTGAGAGAGCAATATAGAGGAGCTACCGTAATATAATTATTACTAGTATACTTCAGTCGTGTTCGTAGACATTTGCTGGTTGAAATTTTTCTACATTAAATTAAGTTACCGTTTCTCTCAAAAATTATCTCAAATATTGTCTCCCTATTACTGAAATGAGAACATTTATATAAGTTCGGTTCAAACCATTGTTCTCCAAACGCTAATTTTCTATTTCTTAAATGTACATTCTCATGTTTATTAATCTACAGAGCACTTTTTTAGTGAATTCCAGGAGAGGAGTTAAGGTAGCATAATCAAAAGGCAGATCGTGATAATTACATAGGAACCATATCACACTCTAATTTTTGTTACTGAAAGGGAGAGGTTATTACTATCTAGTTCGATATCGTTTAAAATGCATAACGCAATATACTTTCGAAAAATAATTGCTGTAACTGTTTTACCATATTTTCTGAAAATATTAGTGATGATCTGCTAAAAGTTGCGAATAAGTTGTTTTCAAAAAGGACGAGATGAAAGTGGAATGTGAGTGTTCCGTGGAGAAAAGCTTGTCTAAATGCTTAAGAGGGTAGATGGGTATGCTGTTGAATATTTCAGAAAATGCAATTGAGATTCGTGAACTGAAATAGCCTTCTGCATCAAATATGAACAAAAAAAAATTGAAAAAAGTGGGAATTGTTGAGACCATCAAATGCTTACACACGTATACACCTACATACATACACATACAGTGGCACCGACATACATATGCATACTTACATATATAAACATACATGGCTTGTTAAGGTGATAGAAACCTTTTGACGTCAAACTGGTATGGGAATGTCGTCTCTATGTCATTTGCCCATGTTTTTCTGTCATTTGCGGAGTCGTTGCCAGGACTCGACCTTTCTCTCACGCTGTAGCTAGAAAATATGAATATTTTGGAATTTCATATGGGTAGACATTCAAACAAAATGTGAATTATGAACGAAGATATATTCGCGAATTAGTGAATGACCTGATCGTGACAGTTGTCTGTGGTTACATTACTAGTAGTCTCGTTCGCTTGGTTTCCTAACGTTCCCCAATAAATAATTTCAATATCACATCTAGTTTGTAATAAAATATAACAAATGTGGAATTTCAATTGGATTTGCAGGAATTAATTTCCATCTAATCTCAAAATATTACCTTAGCTGGTGGATCTGTTAGTATTTCATCTATTGTTACTGTCAGTTGTTGTCATTACTTATATGCCTCTTCTGGTCTATGCAGAATATTATGTGTTCACGAGACATGGTAAAGTAGCAGATTTCTGTTTCTGCACCTGTCTCCTTTTGTCTTCTAAAAATAAGAGGCTTTTATTGGATATTTTAATCAGTTGAAGCAATTTCTTTATGCAGGAATCAGAATACAGACGCTTCAAAAGTGAAGGTTCATCAGCAGGAGTTTGCTCCTTACCGGCACCCGAAATGGACGTTACTATTGATGACTTGTCTCCAATAGCCGATCCACGTTCATCATCGCCTAGTCGTCTCAGTTTATTCCAGGTACTTTGAAATGTTTACCATAAATAAGTAGATCACATCTTGTTAAAGAAGCACAACCGAATAGAAAAAACCGGGTTTGTAGATTGTCGCCGTTGCAGGATACAGTAACCAATGGACCATTAACGAAACATTCACATACAGAACAGGTGATGATGATGCACACATTAAAGACTAAGTTATCAAAATATCAAAATTTCATTGATAAAGCATTCGAACATATTGCTCAAGGCAGCGATGAACAGATTATTGAGGTTTCTTTTATTGTTTTTAGATCCAAAATTCAATATGTTTTGGAATAAAAAGTCAGCTGGGTCAATCAGGTGAAAGATTAGCTAGGCGGTCTGATCTAGGCGACATCTCCCAACTAAGGAATTGGAAACTATGTGCATTGTCTTACCCAACATGGACATCATTATAAGTATATATATCACAGAGGGTTGTCCAAATATTTTCATAAATAAACGATGAAATTTCAGTGTATCCATCAACATACAAAAATACTAAGAAATTAAAAATATATAACTAGGAAACAGTATGCTGAACATCAGCATACATCAATTGGTAATTTTTAGAAAACTATTTCTGGAACCAATTTCAAGTTAACATACAAATAGCATTAAGTATATTTATAACTGATATTTATAACTGAATAATGTTACTTATCCGTGTTGTCTCAAGTAGTATAACACACATAAATTATTTCGAAGATTGTATTGCTTCATCCATAACACACTTTTTGACGTGATACTTGATGGCCTGTTTTCCAAATGCACTATGAAGTAATTGACCTCGAAAAGATTTGAAAAAAAAAAATCATTCTCCCGATCTGTGTTATGTCATGGATTCTCAGTAAGAGATGCCTTTGGTTCTGAGTGTACCTTTTGGCTGACTTTTTTTTAATGACACATTTGCTTTATATGTGCGGAGATAGGGTAAATTAAGAGTGCTAATTTAAGGTTGTAAATGAATTTATAAATTTTACTAAAAAAAATTGTGAATAATGGATGGCAAGGGAAAAAAATTATTTCTCTCAGGGATGTACAATAGTAGCAAAGGTCATGACGAAGGCATGGATGTTTCCGAAAATCTCACATGATTTGTCATATGCGCTGTGCGATTTTCTACGTGATCAAAATTACTTCGATTCTCTCATTATGAATTTTATTAAGGCACAGACTTGCGAACCTGGTATGTTTTGAAATTCCCAAAAATCTTACCGAATTTTCAGGCATGGTATTGTTTTTTGTCGGCTAGGATAAATGGTCACATAATGATTATTATTAGAAATCGTATAGCAAAAAGTTCATTGGGGAATTTGCAATTGTTTATCAACGGAAAGGAGATAGTCTCTGTGTCTTATTCCAATTTGTATTAACGAAATCATACTGTTTGAGAAAAGCAGGTGAAAAAATAGGTGGAAGTATCAAAAAATGATAAGTTTGATTCAATTTCCAAATGAAATTGAATTGTTTTTAAATTTCTTAGGATGGTGCCAATTTTTGGTACAAATGGCCTGACCGTGCGTTTTTTGATTTTAGAAAAGCTGTTCTGTGTTCTGCGATTGTTGAATAAATTTATGGGAAAAGAGGTGCAGGAGACATTCTTCTTCTCTCACTTATTTTTAATTCCTTTTCAGAATTTCATATCGCAGAAAATGAATATCTTTTTTTATTTTAATCTATGGTTCTCTTTCTGCATTTTGCATAATTCGATTTTGGAAAAGAATTGACTGGATGAAGCATTTGTTTTACAGTCCGGTTGGCGTGTGGACGTGTATTAGAGGAATGCCTTTCATTGAATAATCGAGAATATGTGGTTAATAAGGGTTACTTGAAAAAGTTGATTGCAACAGCTGAGAAGCTGAACAAGAATCCGGAACAACAGCGAATGTCGTTATCGATCATGGAAAGCTTATTCAAGCATTCAACTGCTACCACTTACAGGTATTTTAAAACAGAAGAGAGATGAACATTTTTACTAATATTCAAAATTAACTCTGACTGATTAAGTTTGTAGTAAGTAGAAGTGAAAAAGACATCTATGTAGGAAATATGTTTTTTCTGTTACCTGTTTTCTTTTTTTTTTTTGAAAGCTATCAGCAGTAATATATAGTTGCTTCTCAGAACAAAGTATGCTGTTTTAGGCTAATTGAATACGGTGTTTTGGATCACATCTTGCTAACGTGTAAACGTGCTACTGATACGCCGATTACTTTACGGCACGCTGCTCTCGCACTTGCTAATCTGTCATTGTACAGCTGTTCGGAAGCAAAAAAAAAAATTATTCAGAAGAAGGTATGGTTGACTTATCAGATGGTTTACTTTATCTCAGTTTGTTAAAATTTCATGTTTCTTTCGATCAATAATTTGTTCCTCCTTTAGTTGTCATTTAAGGTGTCATGCTCATTGATACAACATGTCATTAAATGTGCTTCAAAATTCCAGTTCAGATGTATTTTTCTGATAGCACATTGATCTGTTATCTTGTATTCATCTGTCTCTTCAATGATTCATGACAAAATCCCTATCAGTGGTTGAAGCAGAATCCCTTTTTATCTATCAGAAGTATATCAGAAATCCTTTCCTCCTTTATGTGTCATCTGCGAACGGTTTGACAACTGTATTTGGCAGTGATGACAAAGTTAATGAGAAGTGGTTGCTAGCTGTAAGATTTATGAAAGATGTGGAAAGGATACAACTATTGATTTATCTTTCATCTTCATTCCTGTACGTTGTTGATTTCCTTCAACTTTTATATCGTTTATTGGTTTGCCCACAAAAAATCTTTGGTGCAAAGAAACGATTTGTATTTTTCATCGGACAGTAATCGATTCATTCAGACTGTATGAATCATATTATAGGATTTCGTTTTTGCAGTAGCATTATTTACTCTTTTGAAAAAGTATTTTATTTAGATTATTCTTATGCGATTTAAATTTAATTCTTCAATTAATCCAAAGTCTAATAAGACAATCTGTATTGTATGCTTGCTATTTATTAATACTAATGGAAATAATGAGCCTGAGCTTTTTCTGGAATTGTTTTTGCATAGAATCGTAATCAGTAGTAACTGATTTGTGAACTTTATCTAATCTATAAATTTCAAAAGAAAGAGACTAGAACTTATTAAAACCTGGAAAGAAGAATAATCGTGAAGCGTAAAAGTACTCAAATATGATAGTTACAGGTGCCGGATTGGCTCTTCTTGCTAGCTTCACAACCAGACGATATAACACGTTATTACGCATGTTTAGCAATTTGTATGCTTGGAAGTACAAAAGAAATGGAAACAGCGGTGAATAAGTCGGGTACTTTAGCATTGGTAGAACCATTCCTACTTGCTCATCAAGCGATTACATTTGCTGGTGATCATTACAAGCATTCACAAGGACGACCAAAAGAATGGCTTGAAAGGTTACCATTACTTATTTATTCCTAATATACATGGCAATTAAGTTTGGGAAGAATAAAGCTCCATCACTGTTGAGTACTCGAAAAACGAAGGAAGCAAATTCAGTAAGATCATATTCTGGATCACAAGTGCTGTTTTACTGTTGGAAAACGTTGGTTACGGTAAATCAGCTTTGTTGTTGTCACAAATGATTTCTTCAAGCATTGTTTCCCATATAAATTTTTACATTCCTTATCCTGAATCAGTCTCTACACCTGTGCAACTTCATATAGATAGAAAGTGTAGATTGTTATCGGTAATTACCAGCTATATCTTTGTTGTCAATTAAATAATGAACCTGGTATTCCATCTGCTGATTTGATTTGAAACAAAAATGCGTGGATCATATTCTGATGATTATATTCTGATAATTTATTGCCTTTGCTACTGTTGAATTTTTAATTACTGGCTTATCTGGCCCACTAATCTTTATGTTTATCGATTAGTGCATGAGTCTTGAACTAATGAACTAATCTTTTTTCTGCTCTCTATCCGCTCCTAGAAATCAAGTTCTAGTTTTGAGCTCTTTCTATTATCAATGAAATGGTGATTTTTCTTATTTTATCCAAAATGATAAGAAAACATTTGTAGGAAAAAAAAGATAACAGAATGACAGCAATATCATGTATAGATGATTAAATTAAACTTTCAAGGTGGTGATCATTACTTTTTTACCATGTGTAGTGCAATTGTTTGAGGAGTTTCTACTTCAGATTGTTACCGATGCTTAAGTCAAAATGTCGCGAAGCACGCAGTATTGCTGCTTTTCACTTTACAATGGAAGCAACAATAAAGAAAGATCAGCAGAAACTTGAAGTTTTTCAAGTAGGTTATCCTGTTTTCAGAATATCTTCAGCAAGAGTCCGTGACATGATACGTTGCTACTCACCCGGAAAATTGTTGTGACTTTCCCACCGGTTCTTTTTATTTTGAAAAATGAAAAAAAATCTTTGGCAGTGAACCGAAAATATAGAACATAACCTGGTATTCTTCGAAATCGTTCTAAGAATTTTCAAAGAATTTTCCTTCTTTGCGGAAGAAGATTCTTTTTTTTTTTTGAGGAGAAAGATCTTTTGTTGTTTCATTTTAAAAGGGAAGAAAATATTTGCTGAATTTCATGTTGCTAGCAGTATCAAAAGATAATAGTGATGCAAATATGAGTTGCTCTTTATTATTACTTCTATCCCATAAAGCTTTATTCTAACACTTATTTCTCAATTATTTCATTTTTGTAAAGGTAAGTAATTAGTTGCAGCATAATTATTCCATGGAAGATTGTCTATGTGAGAGTTGAAATTAAACAGTAAAATTCACTGTGAATTTATAATTATATCGTTGAAAAAAATGGTGAAAGGGAAAAAACTGCAAAAACGAAGTTTCCACTTTTACACGAGCATCATTAGAAAATGAAAATTTGTGAATGTTGGGTTGATCAGAGATCTTGGATTCCGGAGAGTTTTATGAAAAGTCATAAATTTTTGAAAAATATCGTTTCTAGGAGGCAGTAAAGCTGGCTGCTTTAGTTAATTTTCAAAAACTTTTGAATCGGCTGTTAAACTCAAAGAACTTTCATTAGTCTTTTTTAATTGGAGTGAGTTGGTTCACTTTAAACTGTTACTAAATTTTTCAAACAGGCTGCTAAAGAAGGAAACTACGGAAATTGGATTTAAGCGATTATCGTTGATTTTCTTCATTACTTTGGCAGAAATTTTTTTTTTTACAAATTTTTTACAATTTTAAACTATTAAAGAATTTATTTGCGAATTCTTTTTTCAATAATTATGGCATTGCATTGTAGTAATGCGAAAATTGGAGTCGAAATAAAACAGTGCATGACGGTCTGTTTGCATATAGAAATGCAACACATAGATATACCATGTATTCTATGTTTAAAGTGGACTGACTCACTTAACAGATCCAGTTTTTTGTTTTTTCCTGATTAAAAGTAGGAGTGACCTTTGGAATATGCTTATGATGACCTTATAGTTTTCCAATTAACTTTATTCTTCACGACCGTAGCTTATTCTATGGGTATAAATTGTGAAATTATTGTTTACTTTTAATCTTTTATCTCAAATTCCAAAATTATTTTCAAGTTATCTCAAAGTCCGGATCCCCCTATTTTGTTGTATAGCTTTAGTTAATTTGGCTTCAATTTGTTTCAAGTTTTCCAAAACACTTCTTCAAAACTGCTTGATAAATTATGCAGCTAAACAATATTTTGTAGGGTCATATCGTGATGAATTTGTTGAAGTATTATTAATTTTGTTTGTTGCATATTGAAATGCATGTATTTTTATACATCATTGGAGTATGAAAATATTTGCATAAATAGAGTGAAAAATTATTTTAATTCCGCTTTTTAGTTTTGTAAGACGAATGAGAAAGCCATTAAATATATTAAAAGTAAAAATTTTAACTTGCAGTGGTTGAGACTGAATGAAATTGGGTTGGAACTGACTTTAGAACTTATAATTCAATTTATTGAAGGAAATAGGAGCAATAGCAGCATTGAAAGAAATTGCATCAAGTCCAGATGAAGTGGCCGCGAAATTCGCAAGTGAAGCATTAACTGTGATAGGTGAAGAAGTACCCTACAAGCTTACTCAACAAGTACCATGCTGGACAATTGCGGATGTGCAATATTGGGTGAAGAAGGTTAGTTTGATAATCGTAGACTTCCGATGTTCGGTTGATTCACGTCATACTATTTTCCCTTATTTTTTTTTATTTTTCTGTTGTTTCTGTTTCTTGTTAAAGTATTTTCTTCTTAAAAGTGCTATACCTTTTTTCGCACTCAATTTAATTTTTTTGGGTGAGAAAAATTATGAGGACGGCTTCTATACGAATAAAATTCTAAAAGAAATATTCATTTAAAGTAGCTTCAACTTGCTAGGATGCTCATCCGAATAAATAGCGCAGTGTTTTTCAACTCTAACAAAGCCTTTATTATATTTCTAAGAAATCTTTATTATTTTCATTTTTCATCTTAAAAAAAGGTAGATAAGTAAAGTATTTGAATTAGTCATTGGAAAAGAAAATTTTAAGGTCCGAATGTGAAATGTAAATCTTGTAGTTATTTGCTTATAAAAAGTGATGCCTTTGTTCATGTATCTTAATCAAATATTAGAACTCTGTGGACTTATTCTCACCAACCAAAAATCCTCCCTTATTATCTTATATTTATTCAGATTGGCTTTGAATCCTATGCAGATGCGTTTGCAAAACATATGGTTGATGGTGATTTACTGTTACTGCTAACTGAAAAAGAGCTTGAGCAAGATCTTCAGATGTCTTCTGCCCTTCTTAGAAAACGCTTCATCCGCGAATTGGAAAGCCTTAAAGCGAGTTTCTCCTCTTTCGGAAATACAGTTTTATTTCATAGAAATTAATCCATCTATTGAGTGAGTGATTTTGCTTAAAATATTGTTAGCCATATGGAATATAGCTAACAATACAAAAAATATATATATATTTTTTTTGTATATATAACGATTTTATTGACTATAATTTAAATGATTAAATGAATACTTGACCACTAATCGATATTTGTAAATCCATGATACTTCCAGATCGCAGCCGACTACGGAAGTGTAGACGAAAGTCAGTTAGATCAGTTCCTGATGTCATTAAGTCCCGAATTATCAGTTTATACATATCAAATGCTTGGTATGGGTCTGAATCGTAGTTTGTTACCGTCCTTAACTGATGAAATGATGAAAACTGTGTGTGGCATGCATAATCCTATCCATAGGCTGAAATTGAGGCAAGCATTGCAAGGTAAGACAATTAAGCCAGATCTAGATTTTAATACAAATTCTTTTAAATGAAATGATATAAAGTTTATAACCTTATAGAATTGTGAAAATTGTAGACAGCAAACATATCGATGACATTGAAGTTGCGATACTGAGTAAGCAAATTGATGTATTCATAAGTTATCGGCGCAGTACGGGTAATCAACTGGCCAGTCTTATCAAAGTTTTACTTCAGCTTAGAGGATATAAGGTTAACATTTGTTTTTATTTTGCTGCGACTTAGGGAATTTTCTTAACTGAGCTCTTTATTAAGAGTTTTTCCTACGTTGTTGAAAAATATCACAACTTGCCGAAAATATAAAATAAGCCTAGCATCTCGGGCTGCAATCTTTTTCTTAATCTACAGTTTATACTAATAATTTTTCACACAATAAATTATTTATTGCTGTTTACTATTGTTTTAATTCTTATCAGCGTGGTAATTTTCCTCTTAAAATTTTGAATTAGATTTTTCACTTCTTTAAATATTTCCATTGCGATATTGTAGCTGTGATGTACTTACGGTTACAGGTATTTATTGATGTTGATAAATTGTATGCCGGTAAATTCGATTCATCATTGCTGAAAAATATTCAGGCAGCAAAACACTTCATTCTTGTGTTAACACCAAATTCTTTGGATAGGTTATTCAATGATCACAATTGCGAAGACTGGATACATAAAGAGGTTTGTAGGAGGTTTCATATAGTAACTGAGGATGGGAACAATTGTGAATTAATGCAAGAGCATTCATATAGTTTTGCTCCTATTTAACTTTTTCTTTTGCATTGTTCATAATTTGATCTTATCTTTCCAGTGGAATGTTTCAAACTTTTTTTAGACTTCTCTACACTCAGTTCCAAACTTTCTGTATGTAGTAATTTTGAAGTGACCAAGGACCTAGGACTGTGATAATTGCGAAAGTGGAACTTCTTGGTTGAGATTTGGAAACTTAATCTTAGCTAATGATTTTTTTTTTTCCAGCTACGATGTGCGTTTGACTATCACAAAAATGTGATACCGATTTTTGATCAGCATTTCGATTTCCCTGCTGATACTGATTTGCCAGCTGATATACGGCATATAACTCGTTACAATGGTGTACGATGGGTACATGATTATCAGGAAGCTTGTATGGATAAAGTGGAACGTTTTATCAAAGGCGAATTGAATCGAACACCGAGTATTGGTCAACAGCAGGTATGCTATGTTTATTAATAAAATTTCTGATCGTTTGTATGATGAAGCACGTAAGCTGAGAATGTTAATTGATTCACTGAAAATATGCAAAGTTTTTAGATATGACTTTGACAGTCTAGTTAATAATAAGATGGCATCAATGAGGTGCTGCAGTATTATAGCGTAGTTTTTATGCTAATTGGTTGATTCACCGATAAGACTATTTTGATTATTAGAATTTGGATTTGTTGAATAGTATTCCTTTCTGAAAGAGTTATTTATAATTATGATATTATAATTATAAGCTTATTTCAGACATCGGTGACATCAAGCGCAAGTAGTGGAGCACAACAGCGTAAAGTATCTGCACGATGGTCAATTGCAAAAACAACCCAAAAATGTTCGGTAACAAGGCAACAACACAGCGAAATGTCAAACAACCATTGTATGGTAATCTTTCGTGAAATGCTTTGCTAGAATTTGCTTGCACTTAGCAAAATAGCGAATATAAGTTATTATGCGAACAATTATATGCATAAATGCGCTTAATAATAAATCTTATTTAATAGTTTGTGTTAGCACTGGATCATTTTTTTTTCTACATTTCTCTAGTTAGTAAAGGTCAGATTTTATTTTATTAACGATGTGCAAAATTTTCTATAACTGTATCCTTGCGATTTTCATTAATATTAGATATATGAAAAGTACATCAGGTGTAGCCCATTTTTCAGAACTTTGTACTCATGTGTATCTTGAAAGAAGTAAGAAATTATTGTTACTTTCAGTCACCTCGACCGCCTCTGAAAAGCAGCGCAACAAACAGTATCAACCGCTCGTGATAGATGCAAATCTTCCTCCAAATAGCTATCGTGTATATTATTGAATGAATGAAGAGCGATGTGAAGTTCTCTACGGGTTTTTTTTCTTCTTTTTTTTTTTCTTGATGTTGATGTGTTTAATTCAGTTCACTTCGGAAGAAGATATAGATAAGTGCAAATTACTGCTGAACTTTAAAGTCGCTTATAAATTTTCAAATTCAATCTTGATGTCAGCGAAGTCTTTCTGGACAAATAGTTGATCCTCACTTCCTTTGTGTAACTTTATGGACGGTCACCCGGAATGAATTGTATTGTATCTCTTTTTACCTAAAGAAATTATTTGCTCTGAGTAAAGTTTCCGCACACTTTATGGTTAGTTTTCGAAAAGTTCCGAGAACTAATATGCTCATGACCTTAAGGATTTGGATTTCTGAAATTATCCTCCTTACATTCGGAGGGAACTCGCATTAAAATTGAGCACAAAATGTTTTGAGAAGTGAAATATGGTTAATGGAAAACGAATCTGGAAATGTCAAACATTATTTTATTTTTTGTTTACCTTTTTATAACTAATCGAAATGTTGCGTACTTTATTAATAACTACTAAGCTGAGAGAGATATTCAAAGAACTCTTGTTGTTCACTGAACCAGTTTGTTATATAACAGAATTGGTAAAAATAAATTCTTTGTGATGGAATGAGAAAAAGGAATAAGAAATTATAACAAAGATAGTCAGTCTGTTTGATGTGAAAACTGTATCAGGAATTAGTATAGACATAACCATTTTGTTGAAAATCCAAAAGGTTAATCCGAAAACAGGCGAGTAGGTAACTTCAATTGTATATCAGCTGAGAACTACAATATACCACTAATTCCCTTACTAATTCTTTGTTTGTATATTGCATTTAAATTGTGATATGTAGAGTTTAGTCCATGTTGTGATATGTCTCTGCCAAATCGCGTTTCTTAATTTATGTTATAAATTATTTCAATTTATGTTTCTTAATTTGTTTTCTATGTTCAACAGTACTATCATGTTATGCTGTTCTTTATATGAGTATTCATACATATTTTTATGGAGTTGACTTCCAGATTGAGTTTTAGAACAGGTATCGGTTGTGATATTTTACTCCGTATTAAAGAAATTATCGCAACGCAACTCATTTTTGATGGGAAATTAAGTAAATTAAATGGCGATCATTCATATTCGATTATAACCATTTCATTATTAATTTGTACAATACATGACTTTGTCTGTTTCATTTTTTGCTCTGTGACGTTATATCCCTGTTAAGTAATGTTTGAATAAATATTCAAGTAAGACTAGATAATCTTACACCAAAGTTTGACTCGTATCAAATCCAAGAAATGTACTGCATCAAATTCAGTCCAAAATTACTAGTTGAAATCATCTTTCATGCTCACTCACTTATTTGGAATCCCACCAACAGCTGTCTTTATTCTTTTGCTGTATCTATCCGTCTGATTTCTTCTTTGGCGGTATGTTTCATAATTTCGGATACTTCAATATTGGTTTGTAAAAGAGCATTCTCATTTCACAGTTTGACGACTGTATCAGTTTTGCCGTATAGTAATGGTCTCACGTTAGTCGAATCGTGATGGAATTTTAGTTTCAGTTTGTGAAGTAAGCACTAGATGAAGTACTGTGAATGGAATATGTTCAGAGAGTATTCAGGATAACATCCAAACAACCATTCGATATTTCGAAGAAAAATTTGTATCGAGGAATTTCATTTGAATACTGTACACGATCGCTTTTTCGTTGCTACCAACGTTTTGTTAGTAGTAGCACGGGTATTTTTTAATCTTCGTAGAGACTTGACGTTTGGAAGGGATAGAAAACCGGATTGCTGTGATCTGTGGTTTTACAGACAATTGTAGCAGTAGCAAAAGGCAATCTTGATTATGCAATAAATATTAAGACCACTTAATTTTGTAGATATTATCCAGTTTACAACATATGCAAACCGTCAAGATATAATGATTTAGTTACTTTACCCACTTGGTATTCAAACAGTTTTAGTTCTGTATGAACAGCAAGCTATTACTACGAAGTTGGCAGTGGAGAAATATCAAAGACTAACTCCCCTAAAACATATACTTTATCGACCAGATAGTTATATTGGTCCCGCTTTCTTATCTGACGAACAAGTTTGTTTTTCATTTTGCAATTATTACAGATAATTTTATGAAGGTTGATCGATAAAGAGTCCTTGAAGGCAAAATTTTGCAGCTTAGTCTTGTGATTAATTTTTCTCTTTGTAATATATGCACTATTTATTCTCTTTAGCCGATTTATGTTTACGATGATATCACGAAACAAATATTAAAAAAGGAAGCACGGATTGTTCCTGGCTTGTTGAAAATCTTTGATGAAATTCTGGTTAATGCAGCTGATAACAAAAGGCGAGATCCACAAATGACTACTATCGCTATTAATATTGACAAGTTGGTTTTGTTTTTCAGTAACTGTTGATTACAAACTCTTTCATTAATTGAATCCGCTTTGTAAATAAGTAAAATCGAATGCTGATCGTCCGCTCTGCTTTCAATACAAGTAATATCCAGTGAAACCAGATTCGATTCCTCGATTACATTCACTTCAAACAAATAAATTGAGTATTCATATTGTTCCAGTATTTGTTGGCCATAAGCTTCTTCTGTAATTGTTTTTTCTGCGTTTAGTAATAGAAGATGCCAACTTTAATTTCGAAGGTTACGAAAAATTCTGAATAGAGCTAGAAACTAAGACTGTAGTGTTATCTTTGATGTCCAAATTCCTTTTATTTTTTTACAGTTGGCTTTTTTCGAAGTTTTTTTTACAATGATTTCTGTGAACTCATATACATTTATGCATCGGCTGGAAAAACAAGAGGATGGGAAACATTCTTGAACACAAAGACTTTTGTTCAAATAGCAATTATAAGTACATTGTGAGTTGTTGAAAAAACATATATATTGTTTGTGCGACGTTCATTCCTCTGTGGAGGATATTTTGCGAAGCATAACAAACTTTTATTAAGAGAAAGGAATACAATATCAATTTGGAACAATGGCCGTGGAATACCAGTGGAGATTCATCCAACAGAAGGAATCTATGTTCCTACGATGATTTTTGGCACCCTATTCACTTCATCTAATTATGATGATTCTGAATTGAAAATAGTTGGTTAGTTTTTCAAATGATTTGTCCTCATCTTATTTTGTATTGCTACGTATTACAAAAGTGAATTATCAGATACAGTTTTCATGCTGTTTTAGTCTAACTATAGAAATCTTTATATGTCAGCACAGCATCGTTGCATTAAGTTTATTTATGTTTGCTGGTAGATCTACTTAAGCGACAGTTTTCACTATTTGGGAAAAGTTTTTCCTTTTTTTTTTTCAATTTATGAAAGAAACATCGCTAAATATAAATTTTTAATCGGTTTACCAAAATACAGGTGGTAGAAATGGATTTGGCGCTAAGCTGTGCAACATATTCAGCACGGAATTTTCAGTAGAAACTTGTACAAAGCAGTCTGGACTGCGCTTTTTTCAAGTAAATCTATCTGTTATATTGCCAGTATTTCTAAGTTGCAGTACATTGTATAGAATTTCATTCATTTTTATGTGTGTGTTTGAAGTCTGATTGTAATTCTTCTACTCTAATTGTCTTATGTTTTTTCTTTTAATGTTTTTGCTACTGTGAAATGACCATTTTTATCAAACTCATCTGTGCATCTTAAAAATTTTCTTGAATTCACTTGTTAACCAATACTATTTTCTGTTGTAGTGTTGGCGAAATAATATGAACGATGTAGATGATCCGATCATCAGTGATGCTAGCACAAATGCGTCCGACTATACTTGTGTTACATTTAAGCCGGATCTAAGCAAGTTTAAGTTATCAACCCTGGATGAAGATACGATACAAGTAATGATAAGAAGGACTGTGGATATTGCCGGCACTCTTGATGGTGTTAATGTGTTTCTAAATGGGACTAAGATTGAAGTTAGCAAATATTTTCTTCATCATTAATATTATTCCATTTCATTTCATGAATTTTGATATGCTTTTTTTCGAGACTTCTGAATTTCTGCGCATGAAATGTTTAATGAGAATTTTAAGTGTATTGGCCACATTTATATTGATTTATAACCTCATTGTTTTGAAGGTTTCAGGATTCAAAGACTACGTAAAACTATTTTCAACGTATACTGGTGAAAGTGTTGAGAATTCCACTGTTCCGTCCTATTGCAGTGTTAATGATCGATGGCAGATTGCTGTGGCACGAAGTGATACTGGATATAATCACATTAGTTTTGTTAATAATATCAATACTTTGAAGGTTAGTTTTTTCTATTTTAATAATGTCATGGATTTAGTAAAACTTTTTGTAGTCATTTATAGTAGATAACAGACAGTAAATTCTTCACTTTAGTGTAGATATATGTAGCTTTTTGAAAGGTTCATTGAAGTCCAGAACCTCTTGAGCATTTGATCCACTGTAATTTTATTCTCTACATTTGTTTCTGGTCTTAAGCAAAACATGCAAAACTTTTGTTTAGTAGTACGAACATGCGGCAGCAGAAAATTTTCATATATTATCTTATAAATAATCTAGGGTGGACGACATGTGGATTATATTGTGAACCAGATAGTGTCAAGATTAAAACACGAAATAAATCAACGCTACGGTTGCGATAAATTCATAAGTGCACACCAAGTGAGTTATCTCAAAGTTATTGAGTAGTAAGGAAAGCGATCGGAAAAGAATACTGACCTAACTGCACTAAAGGTGGAAAAATTTTCAACAAATACTTCAGATTAAAAATCGACTTCGCATATTTGTGAATTCACTGATAGAGAATCCTGCGTTCGAATCGCAATCAAAAGAATATCTTACAACATCAGTGAAGAATTTCGGTTCAACATGTATTGTACCAGAATCATTTTATGAAAATTTCATTAAAGATAGCGACATTATCCATCATTTGCTCTGCGACATTAGTCAACA